TTTGTGCGGAAGCTCGAAAAGCTGTTGGACACTCAATGGCCTGGCAACGAGATAAAGGTCAATGTTTTTGGCTCTTCAGGGAACAAACTTTGCACAAGCGATTCTGATGGTACGTTAACTATCCACACTCTCTCTATATTTGTCGAATGGCAAACTGATTTACTTGGTAGTCGATATATGCATAACGACACCGTCGAAATGTTTCGAACCAGTCTGTGTTCTAGCCGACTTTTTGGCCAAGAGTGAGCGCTCCTCCTTATTCTACTCTTCTTCAAAAAGGCCTTTCTTCGCTAATTCTTCGTTTACAGGCGGAATGGAACGAGTTGTCTGTGTGTCACACGCAAAGGTTCCTATTGTAAAAATATGGGATCCAGAACTGCAGGTGGCTTGTGATATGAACGTCAACAACACACTAGCACTCGAGAACACGCGCATGATTAAGACATACGTCGAGCTCGATGACCGAATTCGGCCGTTGGCAATGCTAGTGAAACATTGGACCAAACGGCGCATCCTTAATGATGCTGGTATGACTCTCCCGCGATGCTTTAGCTTTCCTTCCCCTATTCTCTCTTATGTTCACACACTAAATTTTTCAACAACCATGCAGCGCTTGGAGGCACACTTAGCTCATACACCTGGATATGTCTCATTATCAACTTCCTACAAACACGAATACCGCCCATCGTACCGAGCCTCCAGAAACGGGTTGCCCAGTCAGAAGGTTCAACAGATGGCTCTTCCATCACCTCTACCACATCATGTAACTCCACATATTCCTCGTTCGATGATGATGTCGAAAAGCTCGGCGGGTTCGGTGACGATAACAAGTCGACACTAGGCGAGCTATTGTTTCAATTCTTCCGCTACTATGCCCACGAGGTTGACTACGAGAAGAATGTCATGTCGGTTCGCCATGGAAAACTAATATCGAAGGAAGAGAAAGGGTGGCATCTTCTACAAAACAACCGTTTATGTGTCGAGGAACCGTTCAACACTTCAAGGAATCTAGGCAATACCGCTGACGATACATCTTTCCGTGGTCTCCATCAGGAGCTAAGAAGAGCTTTCAAGGCAATCTCCGAAGGCAATCTGGATGAATGCTGTGAGCAGTACGAATACCCACCAGAGGAAGAACGAGTCTGGGAGCGTCCAGCACCCCAACCGCGACCCGTGATCACCCCCATGCCACCAGCCCATTCAAATACCCGTGGAGGCAGAGGTGGAGGAAGGGGAGGACGGAATCAAAATCACTACAACAACCGTGGATCGCATGGAGGCCGACGGGCATCCAGTGCTGCCAACAGATCAAATATGGCTCGGCACCAAAATGCGGCCTTTGCTGCGGAAATTGCCTTGCAGGCGCAACAGGCGCAACATGCACAATACTTACTGCACGATCATCTCTACCAACAGATTCAGATCCTCCAGGCACAGGAACAGGAATTGCGCATGAAGCAAGCTATGATAAGCAGTCGCGGCAACGCCTCGTTACTGCGCCAACAATACATCCAATTCCCGATGCTCCCCCAGCAGGACAGCGGTTCGCCCGACGAAAACTCCCAAAATCGAGCAAACATTATGCATGGCCAGGGACCTCTTACAACAACCCCTGTCCGACAGAACATCTTTTTCAGCCCTTCCTTTGTTACCCCCGTCAACGTTGCAGCACCACAGCCACAACCACAACAACCTCCATCAAATACGACAAATCCCCCCTCCCCATCTCCATCTACCGTGACACCAGATACCCGCCGAAACCACCGACGGTCATCAATCACTAATAGCTCTCCGCGAAGTAGTCTAAGGGCCCAGTCTCAGCCTGCCCGGCCAATATCAGCCTGTGTACCAAACAACTTTAGCACGTTCTACGCAACTGCCATGGCCCAACCAGAAGCACAATATGTCCAGCAGCAGAGTGCCCGACAGTCACCGGATTCGCCTCAACGCACTCCAACAGAAAAGGACTACGGCTTCCCTGCCACAGGACCGTACTTCGTGAAAACAGGCCCAGTTGACGAAAATGGTATCTCGCCAGAATACATAAGTTACTATGTTGGGGACTCACCCCAGACTCAAGGTACTTATGGTCGGCGTTCCATGGCATCATCGTATCCAGGTCACGCTGGACTTGCCATTCGCAATACCGGGCTGTATAATATATTTTATACCCCGACGGAATACCGACCCATTCCAATGCCAACCTTTGACCAGTCAAATATACCCCTGGAACAGCTGGATCACATGAACGTCCACACTCGAGTACCTCAGCAGCAACACTATCATCAGCAAGCTACACAGCCAAAGACTCAATCAGGCCAGGGTCCATTGATAATTGACGGGTCCATCCCTGCGAACGACTTCCGTCGCCAATCTACCCAAGATGAGCATAGCGAACAGTTCTTCACCCCGCAGCATTCGTCCGTTCACAGTCAACGAACGTCTCGACAAGATACGCCGAACAACGGGTCTAGAGAACCATCTCCAACGGAGCAATTAGTTTATGACGAGGCTGATTCTGTTTTCAGCACGCCGCATCATGAGGCCCAACAGCATCATCCACAACTTAATGGATGGACGCAGAACATCAGAACTAGCAACAAGCCCGCCATCAATGGCCACATTGGCAGACTAGAAACATTGTCAGAGCAATTGCAGCGCTTCCAGCTTTCCGATCCAGCATACTTGCCTCATGTGGATACAAGTCATCTCGTCAAAGAAAATGGCATTCATACCCACGAACAGCACCACCACGCCAATGGGAGCGGAAATGGCAATGGAAATGGAAACGGAGTGCATCATGCGCCCGTACAATCGCAAAAGCCAGCCACGAATCCAAAGGCTGCCCCTGCCAAAGAAAGCGGGCGCGGCTCTTCCCCCACCGTGAAACGGCGTGGTAACGGCCCTGGAGCTGACACAGAGCACCACCCGAATGGCGTATCGCAAAAGCAAAAACCAAGATGGCATTCCGTTAGCGGTATATCCTCCTCGGCCATCCCTAATGCTCCCGAGAGTAGGGAAGCTCCGAAGCCCAACGGCGTTCACACGAACATGAAACCTGTTTCGAATGGCGGCGGTCACGACCACGCCTCCACTTCCAATACCAACAACAGTGGCAACAGAGGCTGGCAAACCACGACAACCAAAAAGAAGAACAAGAAGGGGGCAAATAAACCGGCAACTGGAGCAGAACCGCTTCCTGCCGACGAATCGCTAAGAAAAGGCGGCTGAAGGAACCAGTTTCTTTCGTTCCGTCTTGTCTCTCTGTAAAAAGAACCAAAAAGCATATATTTCGGGTTATTTGATTCCGGGATATAGGTATGATGTTCGTTCCTATCGATGGGAATATGCTCTGGGCTCAACACATGGAGCAATCTATGACTCCCTGGAGAGAGTAGCTTGACCTTCACAGCTTCAGTCTGTCGCGGCTTTATCTAGCATGCAACTGCGCAAGTTACTATCTCGGCGCCCTGGCACGTTCTATCTACTAAGGCGCTCAACATCAGCCAATAATACCAAACTAGAAAAACAACACAGCCAGCGTACATATTTTCACAAGATTGAAAGATTCACGCCTGATTTCTCCCCCCTTTTTTTTTCTTTTCTTTTTTTTTTTTTTTTTACTTTTTTTTTTTCTCATTCAACAGGCGCGCGCGTGAATCGGTTTGGCTACTAGCAGCAGCATGTATGTGTACCCCATGGAAGCAAGAGGTGAATAGATTATATTCCTTCCTCTCTTCCCTCTTTCCCGCCCCATCTCTTCCCCCTTATCCCTTTTCCCCTTTCGGTTGGCGGTTGCTTTTTCATTTCTATCACAGCGAAAAAACTTCTTCTTTTTTTCTTTGCTATTACATGGGAATTAAAAGAACTCAGCATGTCAGTGATGAATTGTGTTTGCTATTTTCCCCTTCTTCTATCTGTCTCCCTACCTGTCTGCCTGTGGATAGTGTTAATGCACTGCTCTGCACTGTTTCTAACCACTTATGCTGTTCAAGCTATGCTTGATGGGTTGATTGATAGTTTTTTAACTACCAGTCTTCTTTCCCCCTTTATCACCCCTTTATGTGTCTAAAATTGGATGGATTATTTAATACCCCCAGCAATATCCTATTGTTTTCTTGCTCTGTTCTATTCTTCTCTATTGCTTTAGCCCATTGTTCTTGTTTTTTATTTCTGCTGGTTTACTCCCTATTCCTACTACCCCTATAGATGCAGAATGGTCCTGTGCATGTCATTGCCCTTTTACCCCTTGTTTGATATCATTATCTGGCTACTTTGTTGTGTTTTTGTTCTTTATGTTTGCTTGGATCATCGGAACGGGGTTGTAAGATTTTCTGCTGTTTTTCCTCAAAGCTTTGGTCGAAGGTCAGGAATGTAGGGATAGAAGCTGTCTAGAGAGTTAGCGTAGCTAGTTACAAAAAACACCAAAGGAAAAATAAATAAAAAATAAAAAATTATATAAAAACAAAGACCATGGAATTGAGATTGAGCCATTAATTAAAGTATAATATTATAATTTTAAAGAGCAGAGAGGGGAGGGAAGGGGTAGAACATTGAAGAACAGGACAAGAAAATCTAATTACTCCAATATCTCAACGTAACACTTATGCAAACATATAATGCAGAGATAATGCAACCATCAAGTCCAACCAACCCCAGTCATTAGAAGAAGAATGTATTGAAAAAGAGCTAGAGATAGGCCTACCCTAGCTTTGAAGTTCGGCAAATATGAAAGGAAGAATGACCCTGCAGGCAGTAAGAAATACGATTATGCACTCGAAAAGGGTCAAGGGGAGGAGGTAGATGGGTTTGCTAGTAAGGTGTAGCCAGATAGCGAGGAAGGCTACAGAGTAAAAATGCCGTAATAGAACCCAAGGTGATCGAATAATGCCGGAAAGCAGTCCGATGGGGCCATCTATAAGTCCAAGTTGGAAATACCTGAAGCAGCCTCGTTGCAGGACTTTCAAATTAGGGTCTACGTAGTAGATTGTTAGTAACCACTACCCGGTAACAAAGGGAGGAAAGAATATATGCTTACCACCAGCGGCGAATATAGAGTATAAGGCTTGAGCAAGAATATTGATGACAGAAATCAACGACTTCCGTTGCCAGTGGAACTTGGACAACTGTCTTAAAACAAGTTTGGTATCACTTAAATCAGGCACCGCCTCCGGGCTAAGCAGATCTCGGAGGAGAACGACATCATTAAATGCCACGGTCATACCACCACCGGTCAACGGGTGACGCATGTTCAGGGAATCGCCTAGGAACATCAAGCCGGGGATCCTATTCGTGACGGGTCTGAGGAAGGAGTTTGGCATGGACCGGAATCCTCCCTTTTCTAACGCAGCTTCAAACGAGGGCCGGATACACTCTGGCAAAGAAGGTAGGACGACATTCCGCATATGCCCCTTTACACCTCCGTTGGCGACTGACGCCGAAGGCAGGTTGTCCGGTATATCAATTAGGATTCGAGTCTCATGTTCTCCAATCTGGTATATCAATATGGGCGGGAAATCACCCAGGACAACATGGCCGTGGCCCGGTATGGGTAATTTCGCATCTATAAGCTCCAGGCCCCAGAATTTCGACTTGGCGACTGGTTGTATGGGGAGATATTCCTTTCGGAACGTAGAGGCATAGCCATCTGCGACAACAGTCAGGGGCGCAAAATAAAAGTCTTGTTTGCCATCAGTCTGGCATTGAACTCCAAGGACATCCTCTGTATGCGTGGATTTTATGGTAGAAACGGCCTTGGTCTCGACAATGGTGACATTCGGGTTCGCGGCCGCCGCCTCTCGTAGGCGCATGATAAAGCGGCCGTGGTGGAAACACCTGCCTTCCAGGATCTTATCGTTGGCATCGCTGGGGAAAGGTATTTTCACGCCATTGCCAAAATATATCACATCGTATCCATATGTCCTTACAGCATCTATCCCCTCCAGGCAATCTCTCAGGCCGAGTTGTTCAAGAGCTCTCACCCCGCCGGGTTGAAGCAGCTCTCCCACTATCCGGTCAGGCTCCTTCAACGACCTCTCAAGCAAGATAACGCTCCGCCCCTGGTTCCCCAACGCAACGGCCAGCGTACATCCAGCAATGCCAGCGCCAATTATCACGACGTCCGCTTCGTGGTGTTCGTATCGTCGCCGCTCGGCTTCGTCGCGGTATGCCTTGGGCTTCGCGGAGCCATTCGCAAAGCCGTTGCCGCTCTGGGGGCAGGGAGGAGCCTCGACAACCATTGTAGTAACTTATCGAAAGGGTAACAAAATCCGGCACTTGTCGCTGTCACCGTCGCTGCATCGTCTGTCTGCCGGGGATAAAGAAGTCTGCCAGCTGGCCTCGAGCCGTCGCGGCGTTCAAGCAATTTATTTTATTTTTCGCTTTCTTTCTTTCTTTCTTTTTTGCGCAGGGGGAGGAAAAAGCTTGGCATGAACAGGTACCTCACGCCACCAAAAGGGCAAAAAAGAAAAAACATGTGAAGGTATCAGCATCCAGGATGGCATGATCTTTCTAGGGGGGCCCCGGAGATTAATCTATTCTATAAGTAACAACCAATGCAAGGAGGAGGAGGAGGGTTAAGAAGGTTGGCTGCATCAAGGTATGTACATAATTCTAGGCAGACATATAAAACATTAATAATAGCTGGTTGTTAAGTGGTAGAAAGGCCCAGCGGTCTGCATAGCTGGGGCCCAGGGGGGTATAGCTAACTATATCAACGCCTAGATTGAAAATAATATACAAAGAGAACGGATAAGTGTGATCAGCCATGGCTCAGCTGTAGCTCTGGCTCTGCGAGTTTCTTGCTTCCCCGGGAGCCTACGAACCCGTCCATTTCAATAGGACCCTTTCGCTCCTTTCCAGACGCCGTTTCAAACTCGGAACGCTCGCACCAGTTGGCAAGGGTGTGAGCGAGACCGCTAGCCCGTAAAGCTGGATCAGGGAAGTGAACAGGCGTATCATAAGATGGAGTGGGTTGGGCCTTCGTGGGCATTTCATCAGTTGGCGCCACGTTAACAGTATCCACACGGCCACTTTGGGCAGCTTCTTTCTGGTCAAGCAGCTTCACAAGGTATTCAAGGTACTCGAGTTCGTCGTAGAGTGCATCGTCAGCCGCGTTCGGCGTCGAGGTCTCAGAATGCTGCTCAAGGAGGTACTTGAGGTGTGCGACCAACCGTTGCAGCTCCACGACCAGGTCTCTGTGTAGTGCTGACTTTCGGCTCATTGCTGTCAAGATAGCCCACCGAAGCCCTCTCCGGCTACCGCTGGCCGCAGCTGCTCTAGAAATCATCTTCACAGCAACAGCATCAAACGGCACTGTAGCACCGTATTTTCCCTTGTTAACTGCGCGGAAGAGTCTCAGAGCTGCTCCAGGCTTTCCGTGCTTGATCAACATTGCACTGGCACTAACAGTCATATGGTGCTTGATTGGAAGCATGTTTTCTTCAAGTGTCCGGTAGAACAGGAAAACCGCCATTTTCAAGGCCTTCTCTTTCGATCTTACCTCGAAGATCTGCTTGTAGAAAGTCCCCAGTTTTGTCCTGTCGAAATCGGGGAACAATCTACTGGCGTCTTCAAGGATTTTCTGAGCTTCGTTTGCGCTTCCATTTTGCATGAGGCTCGCAACAACAGCTAGTTCAATATGAATCTGCTTCATGACTTTGCCCGATGCCTTGGCCACGGTATAGAGCTCCAGAGCCTCATCCATTCGGCCAGAGTTAATGCTGTGGATCATTCTTTTCCGGAGAGCAACAAACTTGTCCACATCTCGTCCACTTGTTGACGCATACTTGACTTTGTCTGACCATGTTGTCCGCTCCCCAGTCCAAGGTAGTTTGTAGGCTTCTTCAAGAGGGAAAGAGTCCCTATCAAAGCCAAGTATTCTCTGAGAGGCACCAGCCCGACCATTTTTCTGCTGGGATGATCGGAACATCCGCCATAGACCAACCGTGCTCTTCTCGCAAGTCATTCTGTGGTTCCTCAACAGGTGAATAAAATGTTCTTTGTTGGATGTCACATTCCATTGTCTAGTTTTTGCAGCCTGCAAAAACTCATCAACCATTTCCATGCTTCCCTTCTGGATAAATGCGATGAGAATATGCTCAAAGAGAACATCGTCCATCTCCAAGCCATACTCGTCAATTGCCTTGAAGATAAACGTCCGGATGCTTTCGCCAGAATTTCCCAGGAAGTATTCAAGGAATATGCGATCGAAGATCTTTGTAAAGTTTTTGCGGCCAGATTTATCTAATCCCAGCTCGTGAATCTGCTGGAGATATTCCTCCACAGCTGGCCAGTCGCTCTTTAGTGCTTTTCCGTACGCAAGAAGTCCCAGCGGTCGTAGCCCAATAGTAATGCCGTAGATGTCTTTCATTTCCTCAATCAAGGCCTCGGCCTTCTCGTCATACCCAGATTCGATATACGCTTTTAACAGAGGATTGAATAATCTCTCCGTGGGTGGTATTCCGAGCCCCAAAAGGGCGCTAGCCAACTTCCCAGCCTGTACCTCGACCAGTTCCATGTTACGGCTCTTCGTGTAAAGGCCACCCAAGTATATCGCACACAACCCGCAGCTGCTGTCATCCTTTAGGTACCTGAAAATAAACTCCTTCGCTTCTCCAAGCCGAAAGGAGTCCACAAGAGATCGCAAAACTAGGGATCGAAGGTTATATGATAATTCGAAGCGGTCGGCGTGGCGCAAATAGAGTGATGCAAGGGTATCGGCGCTCCATCGTGAACCCTGTGCTAGGAGTAATGCTTCCCAGGAATCTGAAGTCACTTGTCCGTTTCTCTCATCCCATCTGAATATGCCTCCTGCAAGAGATGTATTGCCAGCTTTCAGGTTTTCATTGAATATACTAGTCGAAAGTTCTTTCAGTGTCTCCATGTTTTCCTCAACGAAGTCTCCCGGTGGGCGCAAAAAATGGTGGGCCGCTTCAATCGGCTGGCCTTGTTTTAAGTGATTTTCAATTCTCGATTTCCAATTTTGATATTGGTCCGATGGAGATATATTTAATGAAGAGCCGCCGAATTTCATCACACCACGAGGGTGAGAATATCGGGCACTTAGATCTAGCGATCTCTGTCGGCGATTTTCTAGGAGAGTACCGTTGTTCGAAGTAGTGCTTGATATCTCGGACTTCTTTTCATAAGTGTAGGTTGTTGCTGGTGCTGTAGCATCTTCTCGACCATCATTTGCAAGTGTGCCTGTCCGCACAGTATTTCGATTTCTGGATCGGTTTTCAGTAGAAGATTTCCTCTTCATCGAGTCGAGTCCCAGAAATTCTCCCGCCTCGGCCGCTTCCATCATCCTTTCCACGGCTAATCCTCGCCCCGACGTGCTATAATTGGGGCATGACGATTCGAGAGTTCGCTTTTGCTCGACTAGATGTTCTGCTAAACGAACTCTCCGATTGACTTCGTATGTGATTGTAGCGACAGTGCATACGCTCCCAATGACACTGGCAGTAGAACCTGCTAGGGCTAATCGTCGTAAAACCCGTAAGGCCGATCGCGAGGGGACAATGTTTCTGGTTGACGGCCGATACATGATTGTCCGCGGTAGTGAGGGATAGGTGTGTATGGGACCATCCGAATGGCCCCGATCGAAAATGAGTATTCAAAAATGTCCCCTTTCCATCAGAGCTGTTTAGTTGACGGACGACTGGCGGATTCAATTGTGTTGGTGGTAGTTGTTGCTGGGTTGAAAGCGAAGTTGTCGAAGTTCACTTTTTCTGCTTCTGGGGGTTTGGTATCTGATTACGTAATATAACTCTGCGTTAGGATTTGGTAACAGAAGCTTCAGTTGTTGCTAGCTATTATTATGCAATTATGGATAGTAAATGCAGCTCTACCAGCTGCGATGATGTATGTGAAGTATAACAGTGCAACTAGAATTGAAATCTGTGCAACCCCTTCTTAAATTCTATGAAAACCCCGAATAAAGACGTGAAGTAAGCCGAGAAATAAATGATGTAGATACAATGTCAATTATATATGCACAACTCGGTCCGTTACATGCTTTCTTCGAGATGTTCAGAGGGTTGTTCTGTATTATCTGAGTTCGAAGAATGTTCAACCGAAGATCCGGGAATATAGACTGGGAAATTGTTAGTCAAGTTTATAGAAGACGACTAGGACTGAACTTACTATGTGGTAAGAGAAACCAACACGAAATAAAACTGAGGAATAGTAAACTCGCCAGGAGTATCCAAACCGTTTGCGTTAACTTCCCAACAGTCCAGCTGTAAACAAAACCTAACACAGTCGGTGCTATAACTCGGGCCAAAGCATGGAGTAACCCCACGGCACCCAAAAGCTGGCCCGTCCTATCTGACGGTAAGTGTTTAGTCAAAGTCGAGTTGATCGTCGGGGAGGCCATTGCGCTCATAGCATTGAGAACACCGCAGAGCACCATGAGCGGACCAGTCTTGACAAGACAAAACCCGGCATAACCCAAGAATTCGAAGAGGATAGATACTCTGATAATTCCAATATCCAGCTTATCAGAGCCACAGTTTGTCTGAGCCTCGCTAAGGGTATTATTTCGACGATTTCGGATCCATCGGGTAAGGAGAGGTAAGACGCCTAACAAGACGAGGACCCTGACGGTGCTTGTGATAGAGACAAACAAGCTAGACTCAATGTTCCCCCAGCCAAACACGTATTCAACATATAAAATGAGGGTGTTCATAGTACCCATTGAAACACCAAACAAAGCCGTGTCTATTGCGGCTAGAATTATCAAATTTCGTTGAACTAGCTTCACTCGTGTCTTTCCAGCACCAGTTTTCGAGACAGTCTTGTCAGCGACGGGAAGAAGGACAGCCAATGGCTTCAACAAGTGGAGAGGGTTGAAGTCCTGCAGGCGAAGCTTATTGATGTCCAGCGGTTTTATATTCCTCTTCTCCCGATTACGTTTCTGTCGTTCCTTCGTCAAAGATTCCGGGGCTATGAAGGAAATGAATATCGGCATTATGACCTGACAAGCCATGACAGCATAAAATACGACTCGGACATCTCCTGTCGCTTTGATGAGGTAACTGGCAGTAAGCGGGCCAAGTGCAATTCCGATAAAGAGGACACCATGGAAATACCCAAAGGAAACATTCCGTTTATTAGCAGGTGTACAGTCTGCTGCATATGACTGCGTCAATGCCACAGCTGCCGTGATGGAGCCAAACATTCCGTCAAAAAATGACCCTAGAAGGAAAAGATTTACCGGCAGAGTATCAGGGAATGTAGCGACAAGTGCAGTGATGACTTCTCCCAGGAATGTGCCCAAAGTACATAATCCAATGATCTTTGTCCTCCCATAACCATCAGATAGCTCACCTAACTTTGGGCTTACTACCGCAGAGAGAATGCCAGCAATGAGGTTCATGACAAGCTGGAACCGAGAGACCAGCGCATGTACCTCTGGTATCCGACATTGAGGATTTTCAACACCGAATATCACGGGAGTATAAGTAAAAGTATTGTCCTTTGCCGCACGATCAGAGAAATATTCCCGGCATATCAATGTGAGCATGAGATTGATCTTTGGTACGGCAACTCCTCCAAACGCAAGGGTAAACGGAAGAAGCGGAGGCAGCAGCCATAACACCTAGTGAATTCGTAGTCAGCATACAAAGGCCATAAACGAGCGAATTTCATGCTGCAAGCAGCACTCACAGAAGGCCTTTTCCACCAAGGCAAAGAAGAGAAATCCTCGACCTCGGTTTCATCTAGCCCATGGGCCAGCAGTGTTGTTCTCTCATCCGATATATCTGTTCCCAAGTGCGGCTCTGACGCAAATTCAAAGGGAGTCCGTCTGCCTGCCGTCATATTGTCGCTCATGGACTCTTCCAGCCCAAGTTCAATGCTGGAACTGACTGGTTTGGAGATGGCCATGAAGCCGAGAATGGGTGCAATGGAGAGCGGATGTGCAGTGCATGGACAAGTTCACAATCGAAAACTCGTTCAACAACACATAATTCTGCTGACGACGAAGGAGAGGCTAACCGGCGTATATCGAAGAAAGAAGTAGCTGCATAATGACGGAGAAACAGTTGGAATTCTGGCCGGAACCTGGAACTTCAGCTGTAAGTATCCTTGGGCCACCGGCATGATTGATCCTCCATTGTTCTTCCATTGAATTGTTTCGTCCGGTCCCGCTCGAAAAAATGTCCGAAAAGGGAATTAGTCATCGTTTTAGGCGATATTGCTGGGAAGCGAATGCCTAGCTCGTAGGCCTGGAATACGGCGCCTTTTTCGCTCTGCTGCAGTTGTGAGAAGCTGTGGGATATAATCCCCGCTTTGGGCGGATAGTTGGAGTTGCGGTTTGCCGGGCTGGTGGGCAAGTTGCGTCATGGGGATTTTCACCGATGCTGGAGCTGCCCCAGTTCAAAAAAGCAACATCAAATTACCGGGGTGCATCTCTTATTAAGTGCTCTCTCTTGTTGATTTTATAAATGGCTAACCAGATGACAACCGTAGAATAGAAAATAGTAATATACAGATGGCGTGGCTGTGATTTATCGTGATTTATCATCGTACGAGATCGCGGCCCTCTGGGCCAGCGAAGAACTTCTTCTGCTCTAGGCACCTTTCACTCGTGCAGTTTTGGCATCGGAGCATCATCTGGTGCGTACACTTTGCGCCGCTTCGGAGATGCTCTGCTGCCAGGTCTGCTAATCCTTGAATGAAGACGGGATTCCCGTTGAGGCTCTCCACTCGTTTAACACCCGGATTATTTGCTTCATGAATAACCTCCTTGTCTAGTTCGTAGAGAGTCTCTATGTGGTCACTGGTAAATGCGATTGGGATCAGCAGCAGATCAGTCTGCCCGCGACTGACATAGTTCTGAACCGTATCACTGGTCTGGGCCCCGAGCCAGGCTTGGGGTCCGACTTGAGATTGCCAGCATAGTCGGTAAGGGTTAGAGAACTTTAATCTTTGCATAACGGCATATACTGTTGCGGCTACCTCAGCAGGATATGGGTCACCTGGAAATGAAACAGTTAGACCGGTGCCGGCTTATGCACACAAAATAGTAGGTTGCTCACCTCTGTTGACAACGGTCATCGGTAGACTATGAGCTGAGAAAAGAAGGACAACATTGTCACGCTTATCCTCAGGGTACGTGACTAGTTGTGCTTCGATATTTTGCGCGAACGCCTCGATCAACCCTGGATGTGTAGGCCACCTGTCAATAACACTCCATTGAATATTCCCGCTGACATCTTCCGACCCTTCAGCGCCGCGTCTTCCCTCTAGTTTGTTTTTCCATCTCCAGAGGTCATTGAGAGAACTGCCCGTAGTCGAACAGGAGTACTGAGGATACTGTGTGAATGCAACAGCCCGTCCACCTTTGCCTTTTCCGAACCCATCATTGAGCAGCTGTGTGTACATCTCCTCTGTCAATGGTGCAGCATATCTAAATGCCACGTACGGCTTATGTGGTGCCGTCTCTGGCGATATCTTGTCAAGTATTTTGCACATTTCAGAGCACTGGTACTCTGACCACTTCCGAATTGGAGAGCCGCCCCCAATATCGGCGTATTGTTTCTGGATCTTCGGAGTTCGACGTCGTGAAATAAGAGGGCCAAGGTAAGACTGTAACCTTCCAAGCGGTATCAAGTCACCATCTGCCTAGGACTTGTTAGGGCTGCGGTGATGGAATGAGAATAATGCACCAGCTCATGGAACTTACAAATAGCCTGCTCAAGAAATCCCCGACCTCATCTGTAGTGGAAGGCCCACCCATATTTAGAAAAACCATTGCAGTAGGGCCTTTTGACCCTGTTGAATCCTGGGTAACTGGTGGTACCACAGTCGCCATCGTGCGCGAGCTTCCATTGTATGAGCCAACTGGAGCTCGTAGGCATGCGGATACACTCCCCAGTCCTCCGCGAGGAATCTTCGACAATGTCCTTGGAATCGCCATTATGATAATTAATTAGTGATAATGCGAGAATCCAGAGGTTCTATAAGTGAGAGGGAGAGAGAAAAAGGAACCTCGCTTTAACGGTGGCTTGCGAGCAAGTCGAAGGAATGTTCAGCGTCTTTCCTCTTTTGGCCTTGCCAGAGCTTTGCCCAAAAATTAGTTCCCGAGGCTCCCGAATGAACCAATCAGAGGGCGTGTTATTACGATACATCACATGATCTGGTGTTTTAGCGCGTCTTGTCGGCTAATTAGGCAGACGCGTCCCGTGACTTATCCGCCGCGACTACTTCTGAGTTACATCAGCGAAACGCCTGGATAGACAAACAGGCAGCAGCTCTTAACTCGACAGTGCTCACTTTTTCATCCTCAGATATCCCGACTACCTGCTTCTGTCATGGCTTCTAACTGGGTGCGCGATGAGGATGATGTGGAGGAGGAGGACGACGATATTGATGACACTGTATGACGTCGTCCCCGAACAAGTAGAACGAACTATCGCCTGTTAACTATATATCTAGGACTACAAATCCAGCAAAGATGCAGTCCTCTTTGCTATTGAAGTTAGCGAGTCAATGCTAACTCCTCCACCTGACTCTAAGTCTAAGAAGGCGGATAAGGATGCACCAATTACCGCTGCGTTGAAGAGTGCATACCATATCATGCAGCAGAGAATTATATCTAACCCTCAGGACATGATGGGCGTCTTACTATATGGGACAAAGGACTCGAAATTTTATGACGAAGATGAGGAGGGCAGAGGCACACTCCCATACCCCCATTGCTACTTGTACACGGACCTAGATGTTCCAGCCGCCTCTGACGTGAAGGACTTGCGAGCCTTGGCTGAGGACGAAGACAGCGCCGCAGAGATATTGATTCCCTCTGAGGAACCTGTCACAATGGCAAATGTGCTGTTCTGTGCTAACCAGATCTTTACCTCAAAAGCAGCTAACTTCTCTTCTCGGCGGCTCTTCATCATTACGGACAACGATAATCCACATCAAAATGAAAAGGCGCTCAGGTCTGCAGCTACCGTTAGGGCGAAAGATTTGTATGACCTTGGAGTGATTATAGAATTATTCCCAATTTCCAGACCAGGTGAAGAGTTTGACCGTTCAAAATTCTATGCAGTGAGGATTACCTAAATGTTACATGCCATTTTATATCATCTTTAACCCTTTCAATAGGACATCATCTATAAGGCCTCCCCAACTGACCCGGAAGCTCCTGCATTTCCACAAGCTGCAACCAAGACTTCAACTTCGGGGGGAGATGGCATCACGCTTTTGAACTCTCTCATTTCATCAATCAATTCCAAGTCTGTCCCTCGAAGAGCGCTATTTTCAAATGTTCCCTTAGAGATCGGGCCCGGCCTCAAAATCTCCGTCACTGGGTATTTGATATTTAAGCGACAAGAACCTGCTCGAAGCTGTTACATTTGGCTGGCTGGCGAACAGCCCCAAATTGCCAAAGGAATGACTACTCAGCTTGCAGATGACAGTGCCCGTGAAGTGGAAAAATGGGAGATCCGCAAAGCATATAAGTTTGGAGGTGAACAGGTCTCATTTACTCAGGAGGAGCAAGCAGAGATCAGGAACTTCGGTGAGCCCACTATTCGGATTCTCGGTTTCAAGCCCCTTTCCTCGCTACCTATCTGGGCATCCATGAAACACCCTACCTTCCTTTATCCCTCGGAGGAAGGGTATGTAGGCTCAACACGTACATTCTCAGCATTGCATCAGACACTACTGAAGCAAAAAAAGATGGCCCTGGTATGGTTTGTGCCTCGACGAAACGCAGCCCCTGTGATGGCCGCAATGATTGCTGGAGAAGAAAAGCTCGATGAGAATGGTGAACAAACTATCCCTCCTGGAATGTGGATTCTTCCTCTCCCTTTTGCAGACGACATCAGACAAAACCCGGAGACAAACCATATTACCGCCCCTGACTCATTAATCAATAAGATGAGACCTATTATCCGGCAGCTTCAGCTTCAAAACGCGCAATATGACCCACAGAGATATCCAAATCCATGTATGTGCAGTGTACTCTGATTGTTTATGACTAAAACTAACCCAACCTTTACCAGCGCTTCAATGGCATTATAAGATCCTACAGGCTTTAGCACTGGATGAAGATTTACCAGAGGAGCCAGAAGACAAGACTAAACCGAAATATAAAGCCATTGACAAGGTAAACGACATTCAGTACCTGTACCACAACATTTCCTGGAATAACATGAGGCTAAGGATACGCAGCGAACTGGAGACTTGGTCATTGAATGGGGTGAAGAGCTTGAGACTCAGTACCGGGCTCTAGAGAAAAGTCAACCAGCGACCTCAACTCTCGTTAAAAGACCAGCTCCAAGTGCAAAGGGAGTTAAGGAGGAGCCAGCATCTAAGAGGGCGAAAACCGAAGAACCCGAGGATATCAAGGCTTACTATGAAAAGGGCACACTGAACAAGGTAAAGCCCATCCCTCGCCCAATAAGTGTCGAATTATCAAGCCTCTAACTCGGTATTTAATATAGCTCACCGTTGCCGTACTGAAGGACTTCCTAATTTCACATTCTCTGCCAATTTCTGGTAAGAAAGCAGATCTAGTTGAAAGAGTAGAGGAACATTTTGGTCGTTGATAGCTGCTTAAAGTACCACTTGTGGGATATGAAAATCGGGAATCCATCTATAACAGCAACAACAACCTTTTTAATCTTGTGTCTAGAGGGAAAAGTAGAAAAATAAAAAAGAATAAATCGATACGGAGTAAGATGAATCAAATATAGTTAGGAACTAAAAATACAAAAAAGATAAGGCCGACGTCGGACGGATTCGAACCGTCGCCCCCGAAGGGAATTGATTATCTGCTTCAGAGAAGTTCTAGTCAATCGCATTAGACCACTCTGCCACAACGCCTTATTGATGTCTGGGTTGAGAAAAGCAGAATGATAACCGACACACAGCTTCCCAATTGATAACCGACTCCTGGCGTCGCCCCTGAGAACGATGGCGATCGATTTTGCCTCAAACCAGGTCAGGGATGATGGATGGTTTATGCAAGGGGAGACTTCGTAACCGTATTTACAATTGTCCTCGAAGTGGCTTTACGTAAATCTATGAAAACTTGAAGAAAAGAGAAGGATGGGTTGGAAATGCAGATCATTATTACATTGTTTGCACAAGCCGAGCCGAGACTCCGATACCCCCATGCATAAACAAACCGCCTATGTAGTTAAAAGAAGCGAAGTTGACAAGAGAAGCATATACTTATAGCCAAGAATAAAAGTAAAGTAAAGTTGAAGTTTATAGACAGCAGTTGGAAAGTGAGGTATCGGGAATGAGACTATCCGGGCCATGGTATCAAAATCTACAGAGGAAACCGGGTGTTAATAAAAGGTCTTTTTATCCTTGGATGATACGCATAGTATATATGCAGTAACAGAAGGAAAGGAGGACTTACCGTATTTCATAACTTCCAGCACGTGTCATATATCGCACCCATTTCACGCTGCTGTAGTTCCCCTTTTCAAATACCTTCAGATAGCGCACCAACAACCCACTGCTCGTGAACATAAGCAAGCTGAAGGCAAGGCTGAGAGGCGGCCGGCTCCAGGTCTTTTGCTGGGTCATGGAGGTCAAGGTAGCTTCGGCCGTAAGGACAAATTCACTCTGACCGGAAAACCTCGCTATTTTCCAGACGATATTGTTATGTTCCGGTTCATACTTGGCCCTTCCCTGGGTTGTCCGCTCCGTGATCTTAGCTGTGTTAAGTGGGGTAGGTATCCGGACAACGACATTGGTAGCAAATAATTTTGGGCCATAGTTTGCCTTTATAGCAATGCTGTATTCGACTTTTGTGGTACCTACTTCACGGACAATAGGATGGACCTTAAAAGGCAGGTTCACGTTTTCAGTTGCCCGGTATCTCATCAGCTCAAATTCGCCATCGGGTGGGATGAAAGAGATGATTCGGTCAGCATCAAACTGGCCTAGCTTAACGCATTGATGAAACTGGCAGTCTTCAAGGGTAACGCTGCCCGCCGCAGCCCGCGTTGTCCTTGGTTTCCCGGGCACACCATTGGCATCATCGTTATCTAGCAAGAGCCGATCATTAAGGCCAAACTTGCATTCTGGCGTTCCGCTGAGATATGTTCGCATGACTATGTGTCCATTCACGTCCGCCCGTAGCACGGTTCCGGTGGCAGACATTAAAAGGTTAACATCCTCAATCACGTCGACAAAAGCCTCGTTCTTTCGGTACTTAATATCTGATCGTCGCCACGATAATGCGCCGGTTGCTTGCATGGTAATACGACTCGAATCGGTGGCCGAGTTAACGATGGAAGACTTCACTCCTTCGGTAGTTATATACATCTTCAGCGTATCCGTCTCGGTGTTCTGCGGGTATCCAAAGTCGAGGATTTCTAAACACAAGGCCGGAGTTAGTATTTTTGTACATTTCAGTCCAAGTATACCATGCCAGGCACATAGCTTACCGTCCAGCAATTCATAAATCAACACAAAATTATTCTTGACTGCTTCCTCGTCAAACTTGCCAAAGTACCCCTTCCCCAGCATTATTAATTTGTACAAGAATTCAAACACGAGCGCGGCATTCGCGTTGCTCTTCGTAACTGCGACCAGATATATATTCTCATGTTTGACATGGCTGAACGTCGTTGAGCCGAGCGTCAATATGGGAGATCGGACCTGCGCATTCGATATCACCTGGATGCGGAAGATGTCTGCGAGTCGTGGTCGACAGTCGTTGCGAAAAGAGCGAAATATAAGATTTTCGCCCTTCTGGTTGAAGATGAGGATCCCGGACAGCATCCTGACAGAGAATGAATCACAAGAAGGAGCAGAAATGAGTCTCGGGAGTGTGTCCGCGGTTCCTGTTGTTGCAAGTTGCTACGCTTTGGGTTCCTGGAGCTCCCGTCAGAGCCCGATCTCATTGGATCCATTTGGAACGCTTGTACCGGATAATCGTATTTACCGGTATTTCCATACAAAATTACGCTCGGCATAGTTAGAAGGGGTACAGTTTGACCAGAAGTTATTTGAAGCAGCACTACTTGATTAGCCATGATCCATGACGGCATATTATCCTAGGTGAACAGTAACGACATACAAAAGGGGGGTGGAAATGTGATGTAACAGACATGCGGGTAACCAAATATATGACAGGTAATCTGGAGGGTATATGTAAGAAGGGAATGGATAAGGAGACATAAAAATAGGGATTAGATAGATATACCTCCCACGGAGACATAGAATATCGAGAGTAACACTGGCTCGGGAGGTACGGCGGTAAGATCCCAGTTCCAGGAGGCAGTGATACCAGCACTCAGGGCAAAAAGTCATACGAAATAGAAAAGATGCAGCGAGACACACGGTAGGTCTATCAACATAAAAGGAAATACGAGATGAGGCATCATCAGAACGGTAGTTGGGTAAGATAAAAGAGAGTGCGGAGGGAGAGCGGTAATTGTGGTCAGTCGAGCTTCATTCTGTGTCACACATGCTGCGGTCGTTCATGTAGCCGTGTGTTTGCAGTGCTGGGTCTAGTTCTCGTCCCTAGATCGGAGCCACCATCGCTTTCCACAATACCAATTTTGGGGTCTGGAATCTGTATGTCTAGGGAGAGGAATCCGGTCCGTCGGGGTCCCCATATCTTGACACCTTCAGCAGCACCAACTTCACGGTTCCACTTATCAATCCATGCTTCAAGGCCCTTGATTCGAGATTTGATGCGACTGGCACCTAGATCATCCCATACCCAGCCAGTGAGGAACCCCATTATCCCATCAAACCAGTTACGCGCAGCATATGGATCAAACGCATTGATGAGCTCCTGATTTATCTTGGTGATGATGGTTCGGAACTCCTGTTCGCCCAACAATGGGTCAAGAATCTCTGGGTATAAGTTAGAAAAGGTAGGCGCAAGGTCTCCTTTGACCATCCAGTCCCGCCGTATCCGGATTACTCGTGTATGAACGTAATCCTCTGAATTTAGGGAGACATGGGTGTTCATGTGCGGAAAGCATGGATGTGCTGGTCCCCAGCTCAGTTCTTCTGTGGCGTCACCATTAGGGGGCCCGCTAGGCGATTGAGGGTTTGTTGAGGCGTTATTGGCATTTACAGGGGGCACGGCAATGAATGTCTGCGGTCTAATAGACAGGTGAGAGTTGACGTGTCGAGGTGTTTCTGGAGGGTCGTCCGGGTGCTGTTGTGCAGCTGGACTGCCATTCATCGAGAAGAGGTTGCCATTTCTGACTGCATAGGGACGCTCTGGTGGCCTTAAGTGATTGTTCTGTCCTGCAGAAGCTCCTGAATAGTTGACCATTTCAATTCCTCCCCAAGTATCTGCACGTTTATGCCTGCGAGGGAGTCCGATGCTGGTACGATTAACAGCGTCAGGTTCGTCGACGTCTGTCTTAAGAGGTATACTCGCTACACTGGACCTCTGGGAAAGAATTCTCCGACGCTCAGGGAGGGTAAGTAGCGGATCTGCGTCCCTTTTTGGCTGAGTATCGCCTGTGAGAGCTGTACGTTGCTGTCGAGACGAGCGAGCGGCGGAGCGTGGAATGTAATTAACCGGGTTCCAGAGACTCGAAGAAGGGGATCTTCTGGCGTATTTGAATAAGGGGAGCAAAGGAGACGGCTGGTCGTGAGACTGCTGACGATGGCAGTGGATGCGGCCCTGAGGGAGAGGAGTCGAAGTTTTGCGAATGTACAGCGGCTCTGGGCGCGCCGGAAACGAAGCCTCGAGGTCTGCGGAGTATTCAGGCGTCAGGACCGGGACGAGAGGGATGTATGTGTGGGATTCGTCGCCTTCAGCCTCCCGCGATGATACGGTTTGTGAACGTCTGGCGGTTGAAAAGGCCGTTTTTGTGGTGCGGACAGGACTTTCTTCTGCAGAAGGAGGAACGTCGTTGGTGTCGCGCTAGTGCCACGGAAAGGGGTCAAAAGTGGTGCGGCAGCGCTCGGCGCACGGCATAGACTGTTCGGGGCACGGCGAGTTTCCCGCGCCATAAGCAGCATAGAAGTAGACCAAAGAAAAATAATTAATGACAAACAAACAACAAAAGATGGACAAAGGAGTGGGAGAAGATGCCGGCTGAAGAGTTAAAAAAGGACAGGAGAGACAGAACAGGGGGACAAGAGAGAGAGAGAGAGAGGGAGAGAAATTGAAAGAAGGTCTGCTAGGTCTGTGTTCAAGCGAATGGTTGTGTCATCCGTTCCTCCGCTGACCGGCCTCTTGTATTGTGATATGTAGGATGCAGTGGCATGCCCGCGAGGCCTAGGGGTTACATGATGAGTCCAAGGGAGCAAGAGGAGCTATGTGCAGCCTGAAGGTGGGAGAAGAAAAGAAAGGGCCCTGCGCAGGGACAACTGCGGAATGGGCTGCCCTAAATATAAGTCTCCCAATCCCGCTCCAACGCTCCAAGGCTCGGTTCGTTCCATCACAGATTACATGGGGGGGTGGAGGGAAGGAAACCTTGGAAGGGATGCCTTGGGATCGAGAGTGGGCTGCGCAGCGAGTTTAACTAAAAGGCACATAAACATAGCCATGCATTTCTGTCACATCGACGTTGGCTCGCGGGAATTGAGGAAGGCTCTTTTTGTCTTTGCTTTTTTGGCTCTTTTTTTTTTTTTTTTTTACGGACCAGAAGAAGGCCAGGCCAATGGTTCCTTACGATAACGAGCCGCCCTCAAAGATTTTACTTTGGTCCCTGCTAGCAGGAGACAAGACGAGGGCTATGAGATGCGAGTTTGCGCATGCTTGGGCTGCCCGACCTTGCTTCACTATCCTTGCAGGTAGCTCAGGGAACTGAAAACTGAAAGCAAGGAAAAAGGGGAATGGAAACCTAAGGGGTACGGAATCCTTTTGGGCAGACAGACGACTCTTTTTCTCACTCCCTCATGCCAAGTGCGATGCGGGTTTGGAGTTTAATTTTGTCCTCAGAAACGGACAGGAGGTAGAGGCGGCTTCCACGTTCTGCGTCCCCATTTCCATCTGCGTTAAATCAAGTGTCGTGTGCGGTGTTTACGATGACGACGGATCGCAAAGACACATCCCGTTGACCGCGGGCCCAGTTTTCCGCAGCGGCCGGGCCAATAGTCAGTCCTGGGGTCGCGGAACCAGGTACCGATTACGGGTCGGTTGCATAAGCGACTAGCTCAGGAATCTTTTTGCTCCAGTGGATAGTAACCGTCAGGATATGACAGGTTACAACCCCCAGGCACCGGCTTAGCGGAGGTAATCCTACTTATATCAGCTTACCTACGGAGTTCTCAAACTTCAAAACAAGGGACCGTTCCGCGTCAGCAGCTGCCAGAAAAGATCCCCTCGGCAACAGATGCGCTCGATACTCCATGCCGCCCGCCAACACTACCCATCCCAAGCGCTACAAGAGCGCTACTATTATCAACCCTAATATAAGGTACATCCCTTTTGATAGCGCGGGCGATGACTAATAAGTGGGTCTTCCGGAGAATTAGCATACTGATTGGCCAAAGCTCCGGATAAACCTCCGGCGATACGATAGTCCGAGTGTTTATTTTTGCAACCAGGCTGGACGGCAAGCGAAAACTTGAGTATTTGCCATTTTGTTTATTATAAAGAAAGGGGCTGATATTATAAGTCTATGTACAGGGGTATGGGGATGGGGGCCTTCCGAGGTTGGAGCGAGATGGTGACACCGAGAAAAATAAGAGAAAAAATAAATAAAAAGGATCACCATGTGGCACTTGGATTCTAGCCGGCAAAAAAACAAGGAAAAAATGGACTCAAGCTCGAGGGGAAACACGATCAGTTGTTTCTAAGTGGCCCCTTTGTTGAGGCAGCCAACCATATCCCACAGGAAGGACCCGGTTCAATGGCTCTGGCACTGATGAACTCGAGCTAGAGTTGCTAGTTATCTGGATGGGGTGGCCAACCTTTCACTGTCTCGCATTTCTGGTGGATGGTCAGCATCTGGCTCCCTCCCTGCCATATACTGGCTCAGCCTGCTCACTTCCCTGACTAGCATCCCCGTTAAAAAGCCAATCGCTCCCCTGGCTGCGGTCCCACTTGGGCTCGAAGGGCCGTCCTCGTTGGGAGTCAACTTGTTAGCCTCCTGGCAGACAAATCGGTGGCGAGCCTCCGAGACCCTTTTGTCGACCGAAACAGTGTGGTTGACGAAGCATGCCCTGCTAGGTGATATTTCTGCTCCCAGGGGAAACATCTGCGACAAATAGTGCTGGTTAAACAAGTGCCCGTGGCCATCCCCGCAGATGAACACCCGTCCAGCATACTTGTTCTTGGGGTTACTTATACTACGTAGAACCCCCCACTGAGGAACGGGGTCATTCTTATTGACATAGTGTTCGATGTGCCTGATCACTCCTCCGGTCCCAGTGTCGTTCAAGGGATTATTGAAATGGTCTGCGGCTGACCCAAAGGTATAGATTTCAAGTTTGGCCATCTGCTTCGCCGGCAGGTCCGCAAACAACATGTCCAGCGCCAACGACGCGACGATCGCGCCCTGGGAATGGCATATCAGGACGACCTTCTGGACTCCTGGGTCGACTAGTACCTTTTTGAGGTAGTCGTATGCAACTCGAACGTCGTAAGTATTATACGAGAATGTCCGCTGGATGATACATTCAATCAAGTCCCCAACAAGACCGAAGGTGCGATTTTGGATACCCGTGATAGGACGCCGGAATATCTCGGCCAGCTGCCTGCAATTCTGTTCCAGCCCATAGGAACTACATATACCCAAAAAGTTGAAGTTTGTTATTAAGTGGGGGTAACAATTAACAGGGAACAGGTGGAGCGGGAAGTGAGCCTTACGTTACTACGACCCCATTGATAAATATCCAACGCTCCTCCGTAGAATACCGAGCGTTATATGGACCCGGCTCGGTGTGGAAAATGGCTGGCCCGTGGAAAGGGGCGCAGGCCCAACCCGCTATTCGGAGATTTACCAGACATAGGCCACAGCTAATTGCTCCTGGCAACAGCAATATTGACAGGCAGGAGATAAGCAGGAGAATTGCTTCGAGTAAAGAAACGAGCACTAAGCCAACCAGGTTTAGTATGCTCCGTTTTCCGAGGTATAGTTCGTCCGTCGGTCTGGGAGCATGCAAGGGCCGGAAGATATTTGGAAGCTTCGGAAGCAGCTGAAGACAAGTCTGTAGATCCCTCCTTAGTCGCTTTAGCGGGCTGTCTCGAGCCTTTGGCTGACTGGCGATCGATTCTTTGTCAATCTGGGACGGGATTAAGCGAACGCGATGACGGGCGAGCCTCGGGGCCCCGGTGATCTGCTCTGCCATTCTCTCTCAACAAAGAATTAATTAAAAAATAAATAAATAAATAAATAAAAACCCAGGTGGAGGCGGCCTTGTACAGGAACAACGAGTGACTGCTATGTATATTGCCACGGTGCAATATAACTTTGCCTAGACAAACGCAAGAGAAGTACGGACTGGCAAACGAGTGTAAGCTCAAACGTGCACGCGGTTAAGGATAGATATTAGGCCCCGAGGTGACTGCTTGTTATCACCGGAGGAGCAAAGGGGTCACATCCAACCCTGGCCCTCGAGGTGCAACAGGCTACAATCACAGAAAACGAAGAAAGCGCCACCATGGACTCGGTGATGTGCTGTTATAGGGAAAGAATGCGCTTATCTATGCTATGGGCAAACGGCGAAGTGAAAGAAGCCGGAGGTCACAGCAGAGGCGAGCTTTTTATACTTACAAGCTTCCTGCCGCCTGCGCCTGTCCGCTGCTGCAAGTTCGCCGCATCCTGGATGCTCGCGTGCCTCCCAGGTGGTACATGTGATGCATGGTAACCTTGATAGCCATGGCCAGTTCGCTTCCCAGCTGACACGGCGGCCTCTCACTTGGCAGAATACTACCAGAGGCCTCGATGCTGTATATCGTCTATACACACCTGTAGGGAATGACTGATCAGCGGCCGCGCGATGGCGGTTGTTGGGGCTTGTGTCCTGGCCTCCGCACGCCCTTACTTCTCCAAAACACCGCAAGCTTCGACTAACAACCAACTTTGGTTGACTCCATTTAGTTATGGAACCTACTAGCGTCGTCAGGTGATGCGTTTTCATTCGCCCGCCAGAGTTTGATCTGCTCAGGGGCTCTTCAGATCCAACGCTGCAAAGGCTTGAACCACTACTGGTTATCTCGAAGACCAAAGACCGTCTGATCCAAGTACTTTGTGAATCTGCCCCCATCTAGAGTGGCTACCTGGCCACTTCTACGCCCACTTGGCAATGTCTGACTCCAGTAGCGACGATGACTCCTTTGAATGCGATACGTGTACGCGTCGTTTCGCTACCTCGCGTGCCTGTAACCAACACATGGATGCTACAAACCACAGGGCGCCAACCTTTGACTGTGAGGTCTGCCACAAGACGTTCCGTACTCAACCTGCGGCGAACCAACACATGGATGCCGTCGGCCATTGGGAACAAGACTACTACCCTTACGAATGCGACACCTGCACAAACAGATATACGTCGGAGGCAGCCGTCCAGAAGCACATGAAGGATGCCGGGCACTATAAATACTATTGTAAGGCCTGTGAGAGGAAATTTGAGAACAAGAATAATCTAAACATGGTGAGGCTTATTTTCTACTTTCCTGTACAATCAGTGAGGTGTAAAGATCTGATATCAATTTCCCATGGCCGCAGCACCTCAGATCGAGGGTCCATGTAGGCAAAGGTATCAAGTGCCCCTTTTGCAAAACCGGGTACGCGACCGCCAGTGGCCTCACACATCATCTTGAACGAGCTGCTTGCCCAAACGCACCGTACATGAACCGGGAAATCATTCTCCGAAAGGTCCGTGAATGTGATCCGTATGGGCGCGTTACCCTCAAGCAGCTCGAATGGCATCCAGAAGACAACTCTAATTATTCTGCCACCGATCAAGCCTTCAATGGCTCGTCCTGGCAATGTTATCTTTGCCCATCTTGTTTCAAATCCCGTCATGGTCTGAACCAGCATCTCAACTCTCCCGTACACAAACAGAAGGTCTATCGTTGTCCCAACCACCGAAGCCAGTGCGGCAAGGAGTTTGTGACACTTGCTGCATTATTTCATCATCTGGAGAGTGAATCCTGTTCAGTCGTGAGATTTGAGACTGTTCAGAAGGGCGTGAACGATATGTTCCTGAAAGGGAAAATGATAACATTTTGATAGTAGCTATCAATCATTCGACATGATACCAAGTTCTTTTTAGGCACACAGGGTGGGCCGCATTTCATTTGTCTTCGTTATACTACTACATGCATTTCACCCTTTACAGACCAGTGTTTCTACGTCTCATTTGGTATCTGCAAGAATATTCAATACAATATTTCCTTTTGTTCCCGGCGCAAATCCAATCAGGGGAAATGGTACTTTAATGCCTCGTCTACAGGATGAGTATCCCCAGGTGGTTTCTCCGGCCTGCCCTCGCGGATACTGATGTGAGACTCAAATATATCATTATCTATTTCAAGTTTAGAGAGCAGTGACTTGCGCCTAGGGACTCAAGATCCCCATTGGACACAAGGAGCTTGCTGTCTCTAAAGGGGTAACAAGGCCTTTGTTACTTCGACTAGGTCAACACTGGCAACGAACCCAGGACTTAGCTTGACTTGAATCTGTGATACTCTGGATGACTTTAACCTGAAAAGTAATTCCAAAGACAGGGTATCTACGTGAATCAAACATGTAGAATAAAGATACGGATAGAGCTGTAAGGCTAGCGGTGTATAACAATATTATTATGATTCTATATTTCTACATATCTGACCAGGGAATGCTTAAACTAAATATATGAATAAGCGCTGGGATTAAGAAGAATAGTAACCCACAGAGTTGAGATACATGCAAAGAAAAGCCCCCATGGCAATTAGCTATATCCAAAGCAAACATACATGCCGTTGATGCATTAAACAACCAATCCAAACACCGTCCCAGCCCCATGCCAATATCAAGATATCTAAATAAGTTTAATCATACACAGCATCGTTCAGCTCTCGCCCACATATTATTATATCTTACATCTATTGATTCTCTCTGGCCGCTCCGCCGCTGGCACGCCACCAGATGTCTCCTCCCCATTTCAGCAGCCGTTCGGCCGCTGCTGTAGGGGTATCGACAGCCGGGCGAATGTCCAGGAAGAACACGGGCTCTCCCGTAGGTTCGGGCGGGCCGGAGTAATAGTCAATCACATATCGGATCTCCTTATCTCCTTGTGGAGTTTTGCGCAGAACATACCAATCATGTCTGTCGAACGGGGGAGCAGTACTGGAATAACCCGTTAGCCAGGCAGTCATAGAAAGAGCCTTCACTATATATATGACGGTATGCTTACCCGAATTTAGAAGGGTACACTCTACCCAGCAACTGGAAAAACTGAGCCTTGGGAGTCAGATCCTGTGGTCGACCCATGAATCTAGCTAGACGTGGCTCATCATCGGTCTCACCGCCAGCACCGGATCTCATTCTCTCCCGCTCCAGGTCCATGGCTAGATTTTCCGATCCACGTCTGCATTTTTGCCAGCCTTGAACTAGACCCTTAGAGAAGGTACGCTCCCAATCAACGATTTCCTGCCATGCGCCTTCGTTCAGGAAGTTATGTACTGACACCATAGACTCGACTGCATCCTGTGGCGTGTCCGTGTACCCTTTCCGAAGCATGGCATTGTACATTTGCTGGGGAGAAGGATATTCCCATTTTGCGCCGGAGCTGTCACCACGTGGAATGGACGATGGCTCTCGATCCACGGACAATTCGACTGTTTGATTCGGTGCTCGAGATTGAGATATGTCGGCGAACATGTAATTGAGTGGATTCAACATTGAAAGTTCGGACTTTTGTTCAGGCTCAGGGGCCGAAGGTGTTGCATTTTGCGGTTTCGCGGAGGTTGATGGAGGAACGTAGAATGGTGAATCCTTGGCTCGAACTGGACATGATCCTTCTGGTATAGGCGTGGCATTGGTATTCATGGGCTGGCCATGCTGTACGGGACATCGAGACTGGTATATATATGTCAGGTTATTCCTCATTCAAATTGAGAGACAGAAGGGAGGTTGCTTACGGGGGTCGCATCACTAGGTGACGGAGTAGGAATTTCAGGCTGCTTCACAGCCGGTGTTGCCGATGCCCAGAACCAGCCCATTGTTATTCCCTGGATGGGTTTAATTCACAGGAACTATAACGATTCAATTATGGATAAGTCCTTGATGAAGATGAAGATGATGAATAGTTCAATAAGGTCGCAGTCCAGCATCTTTTTTTCTCGTCGCAAATAAAAAAAGTTTGATAAGGCAATCACGTGATACTAATCGATCTACATATCAATAAGGTTTAAGTAGAATCTGGCTGCCAAGCATTTAAGGTTGGTTTCCATCGGATGATAGATATATTTTCATAGCTTCCACGTCCCGTCAACACGTCATATCTCAATTGTTCCAGCACGTCTCGCGACCCAAAAATCACAGTATGCCTCTCAACATCTTTCGCCATGCAAATTTTAATGTTGATGCACTCTGCCAGCTCGCAAGTTCTTTACGGGTTGGGAGATGCTGCTGTTGCGATGTTACTCAAGTACCAGTAGGCGGCAGCTTGTACTGGGCAGTGTTCGTGGTATTTGACGATGGAGTCGAATGGGTGTTTCGATCTCCACGATATGATGGCACTATCCAGTCGCCAGAAACGATCCAAAAATTAGTAGCGAGTGAAGCAGCTACATTAAAATATATCAAGTCAAATTCAGCCATACCCGTCCCAGAAGTTTACGCGTATAGGTATGATCGATCTGGAAGTTTTCCTGGTATTCCGCTGATCACCAAAAAGCTGCTCGAAAGACAATAGTGTTGGAGTACCTTATATTTTAATGAGTAAAGCCAAAGGCTCCCCTCTCAGCACAAAGTGGAAACCACGGGGGTCACAAAAATCGGCCCTATCGTTAAAAGAAAAGGCAAAGGTCTTATCTCAACTGGGTTCCATAACGTGGCAGCTTTCTCAGCTCAGATTTGAAAAGATCGGCTCACTTTTTGAGGAAGAAGATGGCCATTTTCGGGTAGGGAGCTGTTTATCACGGGGACTGGTGGACTTTGACAGAGATAGCTTGGATGAATTACCCCGGGGGCCATTCTCCTGTGAGAACGAATACGTTGACGCCCTGGTATTAGGATTTTTGCAGCATGCCGAGTGTCTCCAGCTTCACCACCACTGCTTCTTCGCGCCCCTGCCGACCCGCAAGAGATATAACAATGATCGCGAATATCGCAGAGCATGCGAGCAGTGGAATAATTTTGTTACTCTTGGTTCCAAAATCGATGGCTCTGATAATCGCACTGACTACATAGTAGTCGGAAATTTTTTACGTGCAATAGCATCAAAATGGACGATGAAAGGAGCAGCGGCAGGCCCCCGGGATACCAACCTTGAATTTACCTTGCATCATCCTGATCTCAATGTGAACAATATATTCGTGGATGACGATTGCACAATTACGTGCATCATTGACTGGGCATTCTGCTCATCCGTCCCTTTGTCGGTCCTTCTCATGGCGCCTGGTCTTCCGCAATCCCGGGACGAATTGGAGGCCCCTTTAATTGCTGCTTTTGAAGATGGACTAAGTAGATCGATATCTACAGGAGATATAATATCTTCCAGGCTACGAGCCTTTCCGAGTCGCAGATTCCTTTGGTTATTCTATCGGCTAGTGAGCTTTGATTCCTCGGGAGACTACTCTCAGTTCAAAGAGATCTGGCGGTTAAGTGACCAAAATAATCTGGATTTCTCGACTTTTTTTCAATCACAACAGCGATCGGATAGCTACATAAAAAAGCACGATGAAATGAAACAAGACGATGAATCTATAGACCGCGTAATGCGTCGTGAGGCAGCCTACTTTCAGAGGGACATGGTTGGGCTGACAGTATCGAGGAAATTGACACTAGTTTCCGAATGGACATCTCGGTACCGCAAGAACGATAATAAAGGTATACGACGCAGCGGGAGCATATTTGTAGCAGATGACAGACTTTGGAAGTGGGTTTTAAGGTCCCTAGAGCAAGTGGAAGGTCTGGAATAGGAGCTTATCGTGTTATATCTTTTCTCGAATGTATTCGGCATTGATGTTTTCGACCTGCCCGGTGGCATCATCTCTAACCTGCCATTTTCGTTAATTCCATAATAATCTAAGCTTCGAGGTAAAACATACTACGTGTAGTTGAGTGCTAGACGTCTCATTATCAATTATACCGGTGTGCCATTCGCTTTCTACTGCTAAATCAGCTAAACCGTACTCCGTATATTATTGATACGTAAACCATACCTCCCTGGCGGCAATAATACACTGCATCCCCGGCTGGATAATATGCCTTTTTCCTTGAGTTTGTAGGAGGCGTTGGCAGATCGGGAGGCGTAGGTGGCTGGGGGCGCTTCTTCGGCATTTCTCCAAACAACCTCAAAAAATATTCCTTTCGCTGACTGCATTTTATGAGGATGACCCAGACAATATAATATTCTTTACTTTCGGCCCCTCATGTGATGAGCCTATAGAGACCACGATACCCCTCCATTATGTCTAGCTATTTTATTGGCAAGTAATTGGACAATGCAAGACGATCACTTGCTTTAGGCTGCCTTGCAGCGAAGAGCATCCATGCATCCACTTGGCGATGCAGCAATACAGCATGCCGAAATCAACTCATTGGCCCTCATGGTAGAGAGGAGGCCATTACGAAAGCCACTCCCTGAGCTTCTACGGAGTACTCTTATACCTGACCGATACCCACCAAGCCACGGATAACGTCTCTTGGTCAGTCTCGAATGGAGACCTGTGATCTCAAGATGGAGGTCGCCGACCTTAAGGCCCATCCTATATATAGGCAGAAGTCCGCCGTTTCCTTCTAGTGCGTCTATTAGCCAGAATCCGCCCAATTAACTATCTGGGGATATGCATTGCCAGACCTGCGTGTGATCCTTGTTCGCGAGATACTTACCAAGGATAAATGGTATTCACCACATTAGTTATCTCATCTGCTCCGCTCGCCCACTAGCGACCTTCATATAAGAGACGGCCGGAACTCCTAAAGGATAGGGTGATAGAGAAACATTGGAAGTATAAGTACTTACTGTGGTAAGCTCGTGTGTATGTACTGCAAATCTGAAATATTGAGATTTAGTTAATAGCTATCAACCAGAACTACCTAACATGTTACACATGAATTATTCAGGCAGAAAGGGATATCCCATCATTGTTGTTGAAACTAATCACTGTGAATTTACCAATTTGGATAGAGATGGGAGAATACTTGAGGTCTATCTACCAATAGCGCCGGCGGCCGTGTGCACCTAGATCTCTCAAGGTTGGCTAAAATTATAGTAAAATGCGACAAATTTTTTATGAATTAGTAAAGATAGCAGCTTAGCAGTTAGAAAATCTACCTCTATAAGAAAGCCAAGTAACTCTTATTTATATTAGTTATAGATATTTTTGGCCTAATAATGTAAAAAATTACCAAAAACAAGTATCCAGTACTTAATATACTAGAGTAGGTAAGTTCAAAGCTTGTATTAGATAGATATAGTATCTATAATACAATTTAAAGCCCGTTTTAAGTCGTCTATAAACTTTGCAAGCAAGGCATAAATGAGTGACTCCGAGAAAATCAATCAAAAGCTCATAATAGCTGAGTGAAGATAAAACAAAGCTCTAGGTGGTATATACTTGAACGCCAGGCGGTGTAGAAGTTCCGGAATAAAACAATAATAAATCAAAAAAAAAAAAATTAAAAAAAAAAATTACAGTAGTCAGGGCCGCAGGACATTTATCCAACGATCTCGCAGATGGAGCTGAAAGACTGAGCCTCGAGCCATATTTTCCTCCAAATATGGCCATGTAGCTGACCAGCATAAAGATATCCGTGCATCACAGACTCAACTTCTTCCCAACTCCGCCAGTGCTGTAAAACAATGATATCGTGCAGTAATTCCACCAGCCATTTCCGTAGCGTCCGGTCCCACGCGCCAGAAATGCTGATGAAAGCCGCCCAGGCTAGCAAGGAGCGATCTTCATTCGAGTGTTCGGATAGTGGCTTCACAACACATTTAGCAAGGGCGTCTTTCAGGTGTTTTGTCATTGCCCTTCCGGTTCCAAACTCAGGCGGGGAGACAACGAAGCAGGAGTTGAAGTAGGATAAGGCAGTAAGCCGAGCAACGGATTCTATTGGGTTGTCCTTTAATATATCCTTGTCCGCGACACCTTGGGCCTCCGGTGCGCGGTAAGGGTAGTCTAAAAGTTCGTATTCCATCTCGTGGGCCTTCATGAGGAACATTTCATATTCTATGTCTGAAAGTCCCGAGGCATCTGTACGGTTGAAGATTTCAAAGAAAAAAACATGGCGGATTTCTTGCATGAGGGAGATTAACTTGGGGCTGAGGTGTTTATTAGCGCATAATGTTTTGTTAAGGTGACGTAGTTGGGAGTTTGGCGGAGGTTCGATTCTCTCCCTAATTTTAGGCGGAAGGGGTCGAGGCTCCCAGGCCAAGGGGAATATTGGGCGGCTTAATAAAGTGTATGCGGCTTTGAGATCACACCTGTGGGTTGGTTAGCTTAGCAGCAGCTCTTTATACAGCCCGTAGAAGACGGGATATACTTACGTTAAAACGGCCCCTATGCCACGGGAGCCTTGCGCAGCCATGTTTAGAATCCCACCACGGTAGTCAACTATTTTCTTCATGCCCTGCCAGTGAACTCTGGCTTCTTCAAATAAAGCTAGTGTTAACTATTTAATAGCGAGGTGAGGTGTTAGACCAAGTGATGTCACAAAACCAGGGGAGTATTGCCATACCGTTGCAGATATAAGACCTGTCACTATATCTATTGCGGTGTCATCGACTGCTTTCATCGGGTCTGGGTCTTGCAGTTTCCGGTTCATCTCCGCTATACACTTGGCCTTCATAACGTAGTATGTAGGGTCTAGTAGCATAGCTTCATCTTTATCGGAGCCTGCCAGCGATATTGAATGATGCTGTTCAAAGATCGCTTTGTGCGCGGCGCTGAGGGTCATCTGGGCAAAAAAAGAAGCAGACGATGAAAGAGCCGCAACCCTCATTATGGCTAGCCGCTTCTTTGTCTCTTCTTCTTTTCTGGCTTCAATGGGGAAAGTCATGGGTATCAGGCAATGGTTGACTATATTCAGATGGTAAGACTTTTTGTTGCTCCACTTCACCGCAGTTCTATACTCGACGAGGAGGCCATGTCACTTACTATAATGTACCAGGTTGCCGACGACATTGCCTATTCCCTCAAAACCCTTGATAGTATCCATCGGATCTAGGGTTTGGTATACAGCGGTCGTCAGAGGGTTGTTGAATATATAGAGTACCTTTGATTCGTCCTTGCTCTTAAACGCGACCCATGAGGGCGGCGGCCTCACGTCTGCGACAGCGCCTGTTGCCGACTCCTCCTGGTCGTCTGTCTGGCGCTGGACAGAAGCTGTTGAACCAAGGGCGGCTCCCACTTCGTGCTTCTTGGACGCCTTCTTCGAGACTCGCTTGAGACCGGCGATTCTCTCTCGACGACGCACATCTCGCATTACGTGAGACCGTATCATCTTGCGGGTATCAGAACCCTTTTTCCCTTTCAAGGCGGCCTCATCATCCTGCCCGATAAAGGTGAACGACGGGCGCTCATAAGCCAGCGATTGTTCTGGAATGCCTTGTTAGCAAATGATATTCTATAAAAAGACATCCTCCCCCAGACTCGTATTAACTATCTTCTCCGTCAAAACGAAAATAATGAGTCTGGCCCAGCTACGACGAAAGCCATGCTTGAATGAACATCAACCCATAGCCGAGCTCAGCTCCCAGGAACAAGCGAGAGAGCGAGAGAGAGAGAGAGAGAGCACACAACAGGAGTGAGCCACAGCCAACAGCCAACAGCTAGCTAACAAACGTACCTGGCGACGGCCCTGGGCGAGCCGCGGGAGGCGTACCTCCGCCGGATGAGGAAGACGAAGAGGAGTTCGGCGACGCAGCAAAGCCAGTGGGAACGATGATGGGACTCTTCGGAGGAGCCATCCTGCAACCCGCTTCAGAGGGAGGCCGAGAGCGCCTTTGCCCGTCCTTCTTTTTGTTTCTTTTCCTTCGCTTTTCTTTGTCTCGTGCTTTCCGGTGCCTTGCTGGCGGTGCTGGCAGGGTTTGGTTAGATGGTCGACATGAGTGATCGACTGTCAGGACCGCGCTAGATCATGGAAATACTTATATTATTTATATACGTAGCGTGCGAGCACGCCGTTCCAGCGTCCTATCCGGCCGTCATCCAAAAGCAAAGACCCCGAAGAAAAGAAAAGAAAGGAAAGGAAAAAAACCGAGAGAAAGGGGGCCAGAGAAGGGACGAAAGGTCGCGGCTGGCGCACAGCAAGCAGAAACTCGCCTTTTGAGCGCCCGTATAAACCAGTTTTCCAGGCCGGCCGTTGGTTTACCTTGCGAAGCTCGTTTCTGGCTCCAGGGAGACAGAGAGAGAGAGAGGACTTACGCAACAGGGAGTTAAGTAATAGCAAATAGCAGTAGTTAATATATATAAATAAATAAGTATAAGTAAGATAATAAATATATGTCAATACCTAATATTAATGGTTTCGTTTCTGAGGGCCGTCGTCGTTTTTTATTTTAGCCTTCGACCGGCCCGTCTGGTTGGTGCGAGACCCACTGGGCAGCGCTGATGAGGTAGCATCTCTCGGATGTAGTATCTACCAGTCGGGCTGAGGATGGAGTGGATGGATGGATGCAGGCAGACAGGAGGCGAGGGGAGTTGACACTGGCAGCAGCTCTGGCTTGACTAGCTCGGACAAGTTACATACATAGTACTTAGTAGCTATTTAGTTATCGAAGTAAGTGCTTAGTTACATGGGACGGCCAAGGCGATGTCTTGCAGCTAACAACAGCAACAAGTAACACCGACAGCTCTAACTAGTTTGTTCAACGAGGGGACAGGGAGCGGCCAGCCAGACGCGGCTCTGGCCTGGCTGGGTTAATATGTATATAACGGACAGCTGGATACACTCCGCGGAAGGACGGATTGACGTGATGCGCAGCTGGGATGGGCCCCTGGCCTCAAACAGCTTCTTTTTTTTCTCTTTGACCAAGGGGCGCCACAACGCCCGGGGGGTCTCTCTATCTATCGGCGACGAGTCTAGGAAACAATATCGAGGGTAAGAGTTCTCGGCAACGGAAATAAGGGATCGGAGGTGTTGATACCCATTATTGCTGTCTGCTCAGCTTTTAAGTAGCCGTGAAAGGGAAAAAAAAAAAAACAAGAATTATCAGAAGCCTGCTGCCAAGAGAGGAAGTTTATCAGGCTTCAGGGTCTGTTTCATGTCTTTCCGTTCCGTATAGCATTAGTGTGTGGATGCGGGCGTAGCCTCTTCTGCACATGTAGCCGGCCGGCCCCCAACAATAATGCTATGAATAGTGTCGATGGGCTGCTGAAGGAGGGAGGGAGGAGGTCTGTCGATTGGGCAGGAGCCAAGGAATGCATGTGTTGCGTGTGCGTGCGTGTCGTGTGTGTGCGTGCGTGTGTGCGTGTGTGGAGAGAGAGATTGTCGGATGGGCGGCTGATGTTGAGATCTACCAGGCCCGGAGGTCGTCGAACAGTCGTGATAAGAGTGCATACCCCAGCACCAGGCCGATGCATATCCATACTTTATTTCTTCGAAACCAGCTCTCCCCGGCATCTCTCGCCCTCTGTCCACCCTCCACAACAACCCCTAACCCTGTGGCACTCCCACCGCCAGGCCTGCGTCGAAGAGCATTCGTCTCAGGTGAACAGGCACTGTTGTTGCTACCGTTGCCGCTGCTGCTGTTCTCGGCTAAGAAGGCTTCATTAGGGTCGGGTAATATCTGTCCCGTCGCTGGATCAACCCGGTTGTCCTTCATCCATTTCCAGTTCTCCTGGTCCAGCTCGGGCCACTCGGCTCGAAACTTCTTCCCTCCGTCTCCGGCCTTGATGTTCGCAATCCCCTTGATGGTTGACGTGACGCCAGGAACGGCTTTTGTATAAGAGCCGCCACCGGTAGAGTTCCACCATCTCGACCTCGCGGCGAATAACCTGCGTTCGGCATCGGAGGCACTCACGCTCCCAGTCGTCATCTCCTCGCTGTTCATAAAGGATAGCAGTCCGATCAGGATCGTCGACACCTCCCATGCCGGGTTGAAGGACTTTGGGTGGAAGTCACTTATACTCAGGCACAATCGTGTGGATGGCATGAATCGCCCGCTTGGCGTGTGCATTCTTATTGCTGGAGGCGCAAACGGATATTCAGGCGGGAATATTAGTGTACCCCAGTACTGGCCATTTTCGTACGGTGTCTGGGGTGCTCCTGTAAGTATGTAGTGCCATCTATGCGTTTCATCGAGTTAGCCGGCGAGCTCAATCTGGAGAGGACCAGGCCAGGGGTTCACCCCGTTAAAAGGAAAAAAAAAAAAAAAAAAAAGCGAATTAAAAGAGCGTTGCAAACGTACTCTAGTATATTGGACTCTGACGGATGTGCAACAATGTATGGAGGTGGGTTCTTTTGGATATTTTGGTACTCGCGGGTGAGCTAGGATTCGGGATTTCCCGTTAGCATGGCCGTTAATGGGTCTGCCGTGATAGATCATATACTTACTCGCTTGGTGGCGGCTTTGGTGGCCATGATGCGCGGTAACCCTGGCCGGTCTAGCTGTCTCTTGCGCAGTAAGAATAGTTAAGGGGCGCCCTCGAGAGACGACAAAACGCGAGCAGCCTGAGAATTGTAAACCCGGAGAAGCCTGTCCTGCAGCCGACGAAGCTCCTGTCAACCAGTCCGCCGGGGACAATGCACTAGTATAAGCGGGAAGAAAGCGCCGATGCCAATGCCGATGCCGATGCTGATGCTGATGCTGACGCTGATGCCGAGAGAGAATGAAGATGAAGATCTTTCGATGTTTTCGATGCTTTTCGCTGCTTCTTTTCCCATGCAAGTCATGACACGTGACCCTACCTTCCGTCATACTCACGTGACGCTGCTTACATAGTTTTGCGAAAGTCGACGCCGCGAAGTTGCAGACAAGCAAAAAGGACGACGACGAAGCGGACGAAGAAGCGCTTCAAAGGGAGAAAAAAGAGGAGGCTGACGGCCATTGACAGACGCAGTCGACAGCTGTTGCAGAAGCCGCAATGGTTTCTTCATCCAACGGCGGAGACGAGGTAAGATCTGCCCGGGAAAGAGAAACTCGATTGGACCATCCGGCTTACCCTGTTTATGTCTTGTTTGCCTAGATCTTCGACCGTCTTCGAAACCCGGAGGTAGACCCAAAGGTGCTGGAGGAGCGCAAGAAAGCAGTCAATGAGCGGATAAGCAACATCTACCAGAAGGCCCAGGCTCGCCTGGCTGAATTGGTCAGTGCTGGTTGTCAATTGCGTTTGTCTGTGTTTGTGGCATTCGACTGATTTGTCCGGTATCCAGATCGACCAGAATTCTACATTACCATGCACCATTTCCTCCGTCCAAGTCCTCAATGCGCCGCATACGAGGCGGGGCTTTCTCGAGAAGGCTCTCAGCCCTTTGCTAAAGGAAAATAAAGACCGCACGCTTACCCTGGCCGAGACTCTGGAGGAGGTATCAAAATGCACAGACAGGCTCAGTCAATTCGGTAGGTCTCGAAGCTCACTCAAAATCTTCAAACCACTGAGATTTATGCGTGAATGTTCGCTAATCTCTACCAACAGACATTTTTGAACATCCAATTGGTATTCACCTCGATAAACCGTCACAAACCGACCCAAGCACCACTCCCACCGACATCAGTATATATCTTGCTACCAAAGAGAAATCTAGACTACTCGTGAAAACCGGAACCGACCTTGGAAACGCAGAAGGTTCGGCATACGCAAACGTCCTCTGGCGGAATATCCTTGGTGGTGCAGAAACTTTGAATCTCAATGCTTCCCTCGGCACACGCACAAGGTCGTCTTACCAGGCCATTTTCGAAACCCCGATTCTTAGTGATCCTAACTACCGATGGGAGACCGGCGTCGTCGCGAGTGACACAAAGAAACCCTGGTCAAGCCACGAAGAGGTGTTAAAGGGCGGCTGGACAAAGCTCCGGTGGTTGAATGGCCATGGCCACCGACAAGAGTTGGCTCTCAACGGCTTCTGGCGCCAGGTCACCGGTTTGGCTACTGATGCGTCTTTGGGTATTCGCGAAAACGCAGGAGATAGCGTGAAGACCAGCATCTCGCATACGTGGGTCAACGATCGTCGGGATAACCCCATTCTACCCACTAGAGGATTTTATGCAAAGACTCTGAACGAACTCGCTGGATGGGGTCCCTTGAAAGGAGACGTGTCTTTCTGGAAGTCAGAAGTGGAAGCTCAGACAGCGATTCCAGTCCCCATTCCACTAGTTAAGAAAGATTGCGGAATAAGTTTTACATCGAGCTTCCGTGCCGGCCTTCTGTACCCACTGGGCCTTGACTCCGACCCAAAACCTCAGCTCTCGAGGATCAACGACCGCTTCCAGCTTGGAGGACCAACAGATGTCCGTGGCTTCAGGCAATGTGGCCTCGGACCTCGCGGCGGCTCAGATGCGCTAGGTGGTGATGTATATGCAGCCGGAAGCGCTAACCTCTTCTTCCCTCTTCCCCGTGTTGGCGCAGACAAGCCTTTCCGGCTCCAAGCCTTCGTCAACGGTGGCCGCCTCCTTGCTCTGAAAACACCCTCCGGTGCAGCTCCCACTACCCATGCTGAGGTTCGGGAGAGTGTCTTCCATACCTTTAGTGAGCTTCAGAACGGCCTTCCAAGCGTTGCTGCCGGAGTTGGACTTGTTTATGCCCATCCTGCCGCCAGATTTGAACTGAACTTCTCGCTGCCGCTTGTCGTTAGGAAAGGAGAAGAAGGCAGAAAAGGCCTTCAGCTCGGAGTCGGAATCAGCTTCTTGTAGACTACCTGTATCAACATTCATATATTTTCCTATGTTCAAAAAAAAAAGAAAGAGGGCTTTTGAAATCCATTCTCAATTCATCCATCGCCATCAACACTTTGTAGGTTGTTAACTTTGACGTTTAGTTAAGAGTATCCACCACTGACTGATTGGCGCGGACCATCCAACTTTCCATCCTCCACCAAAACCAAATAAATAGGTAACCAGATAACAACGCCTGGAACCTGACAGCAACGACCATTCCGCAGCTTGGCCAGCGCATAACTTGTGCATTCTACTGATTTATCCCGCAGTTCAGTTCCAGTACACTCTGTGCGACAGACAATTGCCTTCTTCGACCCTTTCTCGCCCAGACACCGCCCGCTCTCCTTGGATTCGTGGCAACCTCACCGCAAAGGCCACCATGGCCGGGTTCTACCAGCAACAACAGCATCAACCGTACGGCGTCCCTCCACAGCAGCCCTCGGCGCAAAATCTCCAGTTCTATCCTTCCTCATATTCGTCGGTCTCGGGCCATACAACGCCCGCACAGGTCTCCTACGGCGGCTATGGAGGTAGCTCGTCATCATCTGCCTACCCCCCATTAGGTAGCGGAGGAGCGTCCTTTGGCGGATCAGCTGGCTTTGGCGGAGGTGCTGATGCCGTCAGTGGTCGAATGGGCGAGCAAGGAGGACTACGGATGGGATGGCTGGCTGCGTTTGGGACAGAAGGCTATGAGGATGAACCCCCGTTGCTTGAAGAACTAGGGGTAAATTTTGAGCATATACGCACGAAGGTAGGCGCTCACATCTACTTCGTTTGTTTCAATTCAGCGCGCGCGTACGTTTTTACTTTACTGACATCCAATGCTTGATAGACACTCTCGGTGCTAAATCCCTTCGCACGAATCGACCAGCACTTGATGGACGATAACGACCTCTATGGCGCCCTCCTTTACATTCTGCTGTACGGAACATTCCTCCTGTTATCAGGAAAGGTATTCTACGGCTACATCTACGGCGTAGCTGTTTTCGGATCAGTAATTATCCACCTCATCCTCAGCCTGATGTCACCTACCCTTGACCCGTCGACAAACGGAGTATCCCACGACTCCACAGGCATGAACATGAACATGAATCCTTCAGACGCTGGCCATGGCCATGGAGCCCAAGGGGGCCATTTCTCATCGACTCTTACTTTTCCTCGCTCCGCCAGCGTCCTGGGATACTGTTTCCTACCCCTTGTCCTAACCAGCCTTGTGGGAATCTTGATACCCATGGACACCGTATTCGGCTACTTACTTACCACCGCCGCTGTTGGGTGGTGCACGTACAGCAGTTCAGGCATGTTTTGCGCCGTAGCTCGAATGCGTGGTATGAGATTCCTAGTCGCATACCCTCTAGCACTGTTTTATGTTGTTTTCGGGATTATGGGTATCTTCTCTTCTAGAGGTGGCGGCACTCTAGTCGCTAAGGCTACTGGGGGTTAATACAGAAGAAAGGGAAAGCGTTCCACAAAATATATGACATTATATGACCCTCTTAATTACTCGTCTTACCTGGGTGAAAGCTGTGCGCATCGGCTTTGAGCTGTTCAGTATAGAGTAGCATCGTTTCAGGGGAGGTCCGGAGGTCCGAGGAAAACGGATGGGGCCAGCTATGTGTATTTGGGATGGCACTTAAAAATATGAGATATCCTGTGGCTATTTAATTATATATAAAGCGTTTTTATCTGAAAATCCCAGTACCCCTACCTTGTTGACTCCTTCTCCCGGCTGTGGAAACCTGGCATGTAACCAACCTGCCTACCTGCTATTGTGTTCTGAGAAGTATGAACAGATGCTATAGATGGTTACAGACTGGTAATTGGGCTGTTTTGGGCAAGGAGAAGAGCTGCTATATTTCTCTAAATAATAGCTTGATAAGGAGTGAGAATCCATATCGCCTGCAATGTACTAGAGCAGGGCCCTAAATCCTTCTTCTAGAAACATATCCCATCAGCTGGCTAGCAGCGCTATTAAGGGACTAAAAGGACGGCATGGGATATCCTAAACAAAAGAAAAAGAGACAAAAGAGCGACAAGATGCTTATGTATCTTCATACAACGACAAGCTTAGAAATCCAAGTCCACGTCAATGTTAAAGGTGATTGGCATGTTGAAGTTGATATCACCCATACAAAATTGATACTATTTTTGAGAGGGGTTAGTGCCCAGATATTATTGATACAATAGCCACAAATTGAGAGACAATAACTTACGCCATTATCGTTGTTGCAGCAGATAACTTTCTGGTCGCAGCTTGTCCTCGACTTGATACAGGTATTTTCTAAGAAAACATACTGGTTAGCATAGGGCTGTAAATGGTGGAAACTGGATGAGTTGATAACATACTTCCATCCTTCTCATCACAGCAGTAAGAGTCACCAGTCTTGCATAGATTACCCTGCTTAGGGCTAGCTTTGTGGACACGGTGAGCTTCGCTATTGGGGGCCTCCTCTGAAACTGATGGTGATAGTGAAGGTGAAGGTGAAGATCCCATAGTCTCTTGAGGGCTAGCCTCAGCCTGAGTTGGAGATGCCTCAGACTGGGAGGCCATTCCAGAGGCGGTCGAGGTCATTTCGGGGGCAGCCTGGCTTTCAGTAGCTGCAGCAGTGATCTGAGGGGCAGCCTGGTTTTCAGTGGCGGTGCCAGTCATCTCAGGGGCAGCTGATGTCATCTCAGTAACGGAGACAGACGTCTCAGAGGTAGTTTGGGTCTCCGAGGTCTGGGACTCAGAAGTAGTTTGGGCCTCAGAAGAAGCTTGGGTCTCAGAGGCATCTTGGGTTTCAGTGGCAGTAGCAGATATTTCGGGGGTAGCCTGTCCTTCAGAAAGGGCAGCAGAGGCCTGAGTTGGAGTAGCCTCACTTGAAGCCTGTTCCTCTGTGCCAGTCTCCGCGGATCCAGTTGATAATGGAACCGGGACAGCCTCAGAAGTTACGTTTCTAGCACGGGGAGCATTGAAAGCTCGGGCTTGAGACTCAGCAACAGGGCTTAGGGTTGTGCTGCCAGGACGGACTGGGGAGGCTGTCACTAAAGAAAGGTAAAAGTAGAAGGAAACAAGATAAGTAGCGTAGAAAACCTTCATTTTGGAAAGCAGGTAAAAGTAGATGTGACAATGCTTTCTTGAAGTTAACGAAACCAGGTAAAAGGAGTGCTGAATTTGCTGCTGATTGCTGATATTACCCTTCCCATCCTTTTATCGAGGGAAGATGTCATGTCCTTTATCTATAACTGAAGGCCGACTGAAAATGCGGTGCATTGTTCACCAAATGAACATCGAGTGAGAGAGAGAGCAACATTCGACCAGCTTGAGTCTCTTCCCCTCTCATCCCCCGCTCTGAGTTATCTGTGTAAGACTGATACCTGAATAGTGGCACAAGAGTCGAGAGCTAGTGAATACCTTCGAGTTCTATAGAAAGTGGTGGTATTCCGCCGTCGTGGCCATGATCTGTTGGCTCCACCATTTTCAAATTGACCATTGCCTCTCGAGAACGGAGTCACAGAACAATCTCTTCCCCGCTTGCCTGGCCATGGAGGGGAAGTTGAAGCAACACAGAAGTAATGTGGTGACCCGAATATAGGATTTTTCAGGAGATAGATTGCTGTCATCCCTTCCCGGGATTTGGAGACGTCTTCATGTGTCAAAATGCCCCAAAACCTGTTCCTGAAAGTTTCAAAGAGACTCTTCTATACAATGAAGTATAGATGCGGATATAGAGATGAGTAGAGAGGTACTTTCATACCATCCATCCTTAACCGCGGGTTACACAGCCATGGTTAGCTCCCATGTTCCTGCAGGCTGATGGGTGCGGATAATAGGCAGCCAAGTTACTCCCTGAGGAGACGGAGACTAGCAATAGCTAATTAGGCCCAATTGAGGGGTTAAAGTTCTCGAGTCCATGGTAGCCAGCGATATTTTTTTTTTTCGTTTGGTGAACAATGGTGTCACATATGGTGGACGAGAGCTCTCGATTTGCCAGCTATGATCCTCGTGGAACGCACGTCCAACCCGACGACGGTGGAACATTGGCCAACCATTTCGCCCGAAAACCGACAATGCAGCACCTATCAGATCCAGCTCCCTCCATCCTTCATCATAATTATGTCATCTTTGCTACCGCTGCAGAAGTTCGACCGAACCTCAGTGAGCTAGTGGTGACGTACCTTTACTATGCTCCGGAAGGTTCATTCCGGGCTAACTTGGCTTGGTGCTACCAGCCAGCATCGGGTGGAACAAGATGACAGTATTAGGTGGTTGACAACCAGGCGTGCACAGTGCTAGACAGAGATTGTTCCATGGCTCGAAATATGTTATTCCTGGGGCGCCATAGTCCTACATAGGATCAGCTCATAGTTAGCCTAGACGAGGTCTAGAGGCGAAAAGGATGCAATAGCCAGGACCGGGTGTAGCCATTGGCATGTCCAAGTCGTGTTGGATGGGAGGTTGTAGAGATGGTATAGGCTCCAGAGCATACCAATTCGTCCTTGGAAGGGGGAAACCATCCTCTCACAGCTGAGGAGAAGTATTGCCTGGGAAAATCAAGGCAAATAACCCCCCATGGTAATATAAAAGGCTCCTAAACATCCAGTGAAGAATCTCCCTTTCTATCATCACTCACAACAAGCAGACATCAAACCCTTCTCTTCTCAAGTTGATTGAGTCCGAACAAAATACTCCATTTGAATCAACATGCAACTCACACAAGTCCTTGCCGTTGCCATTTTGGCTGCTGGTGTCTCTGCTGGCCACAGGCCTCACCGCCCACACAGCAACAAGCTTGAGATCCAAGACGTATGTAGAGGTTCTATGCTCTCCATGCACCTAATATGCACTTGATTCCATATTATATGGTCTGGTATTGACCCAACTGGCATCTGCAGATCAAATGTCAATCCGGTGCCCCTTACTGCTGCTCTCCCGATAAGACCAAAGGAAGCACCTGCACCAAGTTGACCGGCAGCTCAGTCAACTGTGACAGTGTTGTTGTCTGCTGCAACAACAACGGAGACGTGAGTATCCCTCCCCACGGACTCATGACTTGGTGTCAAAAATTGACCCGCGAGGCTTTGGCGATATAGAAGCACTCTCCTCAGACCTGCTCTGCCAGCGTTGCGCACCCGATCACTTTCGTTGATGTCGATGCTAAGTTCAGAATCGACCACAACAAGGTGTCCCACAACAGGGTCAACGCTAAGCAACGCCGCGACGACAAGAAGGACTATGGCAAGAACGACTATGGCAAGAAGGACTATGGCAAGAAGGACTATGGTAAGAAGGACTATGGCAAGAAAGAGTACGACCCCAAGGACCACAAGGACTATGACCACAAGGACTATGACCATAAGGACTATGGCCACAAGGACTATGGCCACAAGGACTATGGCCACAAGGACTATGGTCACAAAGACTATGGCCATGATGACTATGGCTACAAGGGATATGACGACAAGGACTATGGATACAAGGGATACGACGACTACTACTAGATCGAACCGCCCATAACCAAGCCTCAGCCCAGTGTATGGGTTCACTGTGGTCAAATTCGATCTGAGACGTCCGGCGCTTTTGGGAATCCCCAACGCCATATCCTCTGCCTCCCTCGCAATGAATCTGTGCATGGTGCTGGGTATATAATAAGGGGCCTCCCCTCGTTGCTTTGCTTTTTCATTTCCTTTTCTGCTTCTTTGCCCTGAAAGTCCTAATGGAAGTAATCCTTCAACCCCAAATGGGCAGAAGCTCTTCGGTTTTAAGTTCGGCAGAGTGTGACGGTGGATCTAATAGCCTGGGATCTAACCCCTATTAGTTTATGTTCGCTCAGTTCTCTAATAAATTCTTCTTTCGTCCAAATTCTTCTTGTATCCGAATCCTTCTGAGTACATTTGACCTCTCTAAATTGCAGTCGACCAAGTTGATCCGTAGGAAAGATGTTCCCATAAATTTGTACAAGAGTATTGTGTTGTATCCATTCTTATCTGCATTAGTGTGTATTGGTATTCGTAAGGATCGTCAGATACTCGTGATTATTCACATAAAATTCGTATCTAGTACGGAGCCGCAATCAAGACGAGTTCATATATGTCTCTCCTTTCTTCGGAGCCCAGTTTTGAAGCCACTCTCTCGCCTTGAATGGGTCTCCGCTGGCAGACTCCATGGCTGCTATGCACCATTCTATTTCGTAACTTTCTGTACGGGAGCCCACGTCAGCAACGACTTCGGCTGCCAAAATTTCAGCTAGCTCTCTTCTCCTTTCAGTAGCCTCGTCTGTACAGAAATACAGAGGCGAGGTATTAACAACTGTAGGTCCAATAGAAACGCTTTCAACTAATGGCTTGATCATTGTAAGGATCTCTTTAGAAGCGAGTGTAGTCCCGGGCTCAATCTTGCAACTGGCACGGCCAGTCTTGCAGTATTTATTGCGGCACCATGGTTTTCCACATCCAGTAAGCATTTGAGAAAGGTACTTCCGTTCAATACGACGGCGAAGTGCCTTGCCCTCAGGGTCATAAACATCTACGTATAAAGGACCGAAGCATACTTTGCAAAGTCCAAGGGTATCGTTCGTCAGATCTCTTTGCTTATAGTTTGGACCATTAATTGTCCGGCTGCAGTTGACATTGAGGCATATTTGTGGGGAAGGCCGCGAGACTCGGTCAAGCTCGTGATGGCGTAAATGGGTATTCATATCCCGAAGACGAACAATTTTGTGGCATAAATGGCAGTCTGTTGTTCTTCCACCATCAACCAACTCGTGTGGGGTGAGGTTGGAAAGGACTACTTCTGGGTCTAGAACGTCTGGGTCTGATTCTCCTTTTTGGGGAACAACAAGATGGCAGAATTGGCACAGTATAAGCTTCTCAGGGCATACTGTAGTCCGATGCTGGGCTAGGTCCGGAAGGTTCTTGCAAACATATTTGCAATCCGGGCAGGTATGGGCAGAGTGGAATACAGTATTATGTCTATCCTGACTCGCGTCCCCAGTTCCACTTGAATCATCATGGGGACAATGCCAATGGTTTTCCCATTCGGGTGATCGTTTCTGGAACACTTTCTTGCATTTTGGACACACCACATTGTTTCGAAGACAAAAATTCTCGTGTAGGATCATGGTTGCTTTTGGAACCCATTGACGACAATTCGTGCATTGCGTTTCGTCAGAGCCACGAGTACTTTGGTCTAGACCATCAGCTTCCGTCGCGGCACTAGGTATAGCAGAGGTGGTTACCCGTAGCTGGAACCCAATCGGCTGCGTGTGGCTTGGTTCTGTAGAACCATTCTGCCCTCTCATTTGCGTATGAGATGCATGAATCGAAACATATAAACAATCCACATCGTGCAGTTCCACGTTCGTAGGTTTGATCTCAATCATTTTCGGAAAGTTGGTCGAGAAATTTCCCCATACATGTTGGTCATTGCGAGGTCGAGCTCTTTGCCTGGTTGAAAATGGAGATGCAAAGATATCAACAGCCACCTCATCATTATCCAGGTCCAGTTCTAAGATTAGACGCTTTGACCGTTCCCAGGCCTCAAGCTCATAATCCACATAGTCTCCCGGTAGCACTTGTCCGTTGATTTCCTGTCCATCTGTGATCTTACCACCGATTGAACTTTGCGCACCGTTTTCGGGCGCTCGAGTTTTCTTTGCAAGCCTCCTTTTCAAGCTCTCACGGGCTTGATCCTCATCCATGGGTTCTATATCCACTTCTAAATCCGTATCGACAATACATATTGCATTCCCTTCCGGCTGTACCTTGTCGATGAGGAACTGCATAGTCTCACTTCTGTTGGCCACCACTGTCAAAACCTCCCCCACAGAGAGTGTTGTATAATTGTCCCGCAATTGCCGCTCTAGTAAGGCTTTCCAATCTTCCACATCATATCCTGCTTCTAGTGGCCTCAATCGTACATAAGATCCCTTAGGAAGCTGGGCAGCGTGAACCGTAATCGTAGGCAGCGCGTCTGTTTGGGTGGCGTCTAGCTCAACATCAAAGCTATGGTCCTCTATACCAAGGCTTTCACGAAGGAACGGACTTAGGGAGACCTCATTATCATCAGCAGAGAACTCCCTAATTCCCGAATGCACCACTCGCCCATTAATAGGGTTAACGAGGCGGAATGTCAGAGGATGCGGGAGCTCTCGTTGTCGTGCATCGTTGCTACCGATGGAACTGTGAGAGTTGAGGTCGACAGATAAAGGATTTTCCTGCGTAGGAGACGGGATAGTTCGAACGGCAGCGAGTATCTGTTCAAGAGCTGTTTGTGGTAAGGCGATCTTGTCTCCGGTGAGCTTCAGAGTCTTATTCGGCGGCGAGACAGCGAGCTTCCTGCTCCACGAAAGCCCCTCCATATCTCTAAACCCAGGCCTAATACTAATCGATGAGACAAATTCCTGTAAATGAGGGAAAGAAGTCGTCGTGTCTGACTGCCACAGAGTGGCTCCAAGCTGTATTATAACATGATCCGCCACCTGTTGCGAATGCGTGGTCAACGATCCTCTTCGAGAGACTGTCAGCGAAGTTCGTGGAATTGTCCCGATGATGTAATCACAGCTATTAATAAGCTGTTTAAACATTGAATGTGGTCCGTGCATGCGTACCTGAAGCTGACTCAGCAGCTTAAAGAAAATTTAAGGTAAAAGAGCCAATCAAAACTCAACACCCAGGTATGGTCTATGAAGGTGAAGTTAATTTCACTGAGAAGATACATCTACATCTTCCTAAATATATACATAATAAATTATAAAAATAGCGGTGTTTATCATAGAAGACCAAAAAGGCATGGATCTCATATGGTATTTCATTCCTCAGCCCTCTCACCGAACAAGGCGGCTAAAACTCTCTTGCTCCACTGGTGCATTGGTGGGCGTTCTGGCTTTCGTTGTTTCTGGTCGTAGACCATCTTAGCCAGCTGCTTGTACTGGTAAGTGGAGTCCATATCGTATCTGATGCCGTGGTCCGAGTCAGTAAACCACTGAGTAGTCAACTTGTCTGCAGTTACACCGCCGTTCATCAAGGTGTTGGAAAGGACAGCAGCGTTTTGGAAGTGGACGTTGTCGTCACCGGTTCCATGCTGGATGAGATAATGACCCTTGAGGTTCTTAAAGCCATCAACCTTGTGCACGGCAGTCTCACTGTAGCCGTCAGCGTTTAGTTCAACGGTCTTCATATAACGCTCAGTGTACATGCTGTCGTAGAGTCTGAAATCGGAGACAGGAGCAGTACTGATGCCAAAAGTGAATACACCACTGTCAGTTTCGAGGGTCTTAGCGGTCAAGAAACCGCCATAGCTCCATCCCCAGATTCCAATATGGTCCTTATCAGCCCAACGGTTTTTTAGCAGCTCCTTGGCAGCAAAGACCTGGTCCTGGGGTTCGAGGAAACCGAGACGCTTAGCCACGGCGCTGCGGAACTTGCGGCCCTTGTAGCCGGTTCCACGGTTGTCGACAGTCCAGGTAACGTATTCAAGCTCAGGGTCGGATGTGATGTAGGATTTGAAATCCAATGAATTCCATGCTTGGCTGACCTCTTGGGCGCCAGGGCCACCATACGGAGTGAAGAGGACAGGGTACTTCTTGTGTGGGTTGAAGTTAGGTGGCAGGCGTTGCTTAACATTGAGGGTTTCACCAGATGGAAGCTTGATCTCAAAGAAGCTAACCTTGGGGAGCTTGTACTCCTTCAGCTTCTCAAGCAATGCATCATTGCTAGTGATCGTCTTGAGAGGCTTCTTACTGTCCTTGGTGGAGTAGAGTTCTTGGTATGGAACATTTGGGCCTTGGTAGGACAGGATATAGTAGCCACCCTTGGCCGAGAAGGATGCAGTGTAGTACGCAGCCTCCTTATCGTTGACGAGAGGGGTCATGACCTTTGTGTCATACGAGACAGAGTAGACGTGTCGGGTGGTGCTGTGATATTTGGTGGAGGTGAAGTAGATCAGCTTCTTCTTCGTGTCAACCTTGAGAATGGCAACGACTTCCCATTCTCCCGTTGTTAGTGCAATCTCCTTTCCTCCATCAACCGGGTAGAGGTAAATATGTGCCCAGCCAGAAGCATCAGAGATATCGACGTAGTACTCCTTGCCGTTAACATCTCCGATATATGACATAGACAGAAGGTTGTCGATCCAGCCGTCGGTGCCATCTCTTTCGCGAATAACCTTGGACTCCTTTGACTCGACCTTGACGCTGACAATCTTTTCTCTATCCTGGACACGGTTGAAGGCACGGTATGCTACACTATCGTGGCCACTGCTGAGCCAAGCAACCTCACCAATCACAAGGTCGTTTTCCGGGAACGCAGTAACTGGGATAGTGGTCTCCTGGGATGAAGCAATGTTTAACAAGTGGAATTGCACGGTTGGGTTCTTCGCAGAGACTTTAGGGTAGCGGATCTCCAGTTCCCTTGGGTAGGCAGGGGCGATCTTTTGCTTGTTCTTGTAGTACGGAATAGTGTAGGTTGGGACTCCAGTCTCGTTGAAGCGGAGGTAGGCAAGGTATTCACCGTCAGGTGAGAACCAAAGAGCGAACCGGTCTCCGAAGATTTCTTCCTCGTATACCCAGTCAGGGACACCATTGAAGATGTCCGGGCCGCCATTTTCGGTAATACGCTTGGTCTTGCCGTTGTTCCAGATATACAGGTCGTTTCCACGGACATAGGCGATAGAGTTGTCCATAGGGCTCCATTGAGCATACTGGATGTCACCAGCCTGGTCCTGGGATAGGGGGGTCAACGAACCCTTCTCAATGTCCAGAATGAAGTAGTTGGCAAAGTAAGAGTGACGGTACTGCTTGGTGTAGTTGGTCGCCCATAAGACAGCGGAAAGGTCTGGCTTGAACCAGTAGTCGTAGTAACCCTTGGGTACCTTGTCTGCGGCAACGAGAGTCTTGTTGGTGTTCGTGACGATATTCTGGAGGATCAATGCTCCATCGTCAGACTGGGAGATGTACTGGCCATCTTCATCACTGTTAATCCAGGCAAGGGACGTCGACCTTGGAGAGATAGTAGCTCTAGGGACACACTCCTTGTAGGTCAACAGCTTGTTGCCGCCACCGGTTGGTGGACGAGGCTCACGAGGAGGAACAATGGCTTGGGCGATGCCCGCCAGCAGAAGTAGCGAGAGGAACTGGGATGTCTGTCAGTTTAACTGTCACTGCTTCCACCACCGGCTGCCATGTCCCCAGACACCACCACCTACCTTCATGCTGGAGTAACGAGAGTAGCAACTCGGAAAACAGGGAGTTTTGCTTCCAAGCGCAACAACTGGCCGCAAAAAGAGAAAAGGAAGCCGACCTCTCCACACCCTGACAATGTGCCTGGGTGGGAGGGTTTAAATACTTATATCCCAACTCACATCTCCCCCCCGTATCCCCGTAGAGAATTATCTAACTCGCTCCTCCCAGCTCCTTCGTCCGTTACCATGCTTCTCCATGTCCTGGGGGAAAACCCAATTCAACTCCACCAACAACAAACTCCCTGCCTGGAGCTAACCCGCATTCTGCAAGTCGGAACAGAGTTGCACAACATACAGGCATGGCTCTTCTCCATTTTTATTGTTATCTGCGCTCCCCAGGCTTGCCTCCCTTGGCCTTTTCTTCTTGGCCGGCGAGGACAGTGCAGGGATGTAACATCGCCTCATCGTCTGGAGAGTCGATCCCCTGCTGTTCCTTGGGTTAGAAGCGGAAAGCTTCAGCAGCCCTCCCTTCTTGTCTCTGTTTCTGCCTCCCTGTCCCCTCGCATGCAGGAAACAGTATGCTGTTTCCTCGTTTCGCGCTTCTTATTTCTCCATCCTGGTCAGTCCTTCGGCGACCATGGCTCTCTTTGTTGCCCAGTGTCTGTGCCAGAGAATTTTGACGGCAAAATAACCAACACTTGAGCGAGATGCAGCTCATTAAACCTCTTGGGATTTGACTTTCGCCGGCGTGACCCTGTACGTCTCTGGGTTAATCTCAGGCCACAGGTGACCTCGTATAAAAGCAACAGAACGCCTCTCCCTCATTCGCTGCGTAAAATGAGCCCAGAGGCCAGGAAGCTCTCGGAAGAACAGGATCATCACACTGGAAGTTTTCCATTCTATTATTATACGTGCTGTTGTCGCGATAAATGTTAATTATAATTGCCATCGGAAGCGTTGAGATATTAAACTCCGTACCTCAGGGCAGATGAAGTCAGTCACGGCCAAGGCTTTGCCCAGGTCTATCACGTGCAGTCTCTAGACCCATCCAGGTTCTTACTTCACATCTGACCCTTTTGGTTACCAAGACTACCTTCTATCTGCTGGTGATGCAGAGGACAACTCACCCATCATCTGCGGTTGAGGGAGCAGCTCATGTTTTACCTAAACCCAGCTCTCCGTAGCCCCTGAGCTTTGGATGGAGTAGTGACTGAGGTACGGAGTAAACAAGTCGAATATTCTAAAGACTTCCTTATCCCAGATAGAAGAATATCAAAAGCTTTTAAGTTACTCTCGCAACTTGCATTACTAGGGAATGCTGATTCTCGCCTAACTGCTGAAGAACCAGACTTTTACCAGAGTGGCGGTTTCCATCGGGTTGGTCTGGGGGACACGTTCCATCATGGCCAGTTTACCATCCTACGGAAGCTTGGATATGGACAATATTCTACCGTTTGGCTAGTCCGAGATTCCAAGTAAGTTCATTAATCCTTTGCATACTAAGTTAATAATGAGTAGCATCAGGGATACGTAGCACTTACGGCATTAAGGGCCGACTATTATAGCAGCAAACATGACATCTTAGAGATAATTCATCCGGAAATCTCCGAAATGTCTAGAACCAAGGCACTAAATATATATGCCTCATCTTCTTGAGCAATTTAGCACATAGGACCCAATGGAGATCATATTTTCTTAGCGTTTGACGTTCTAGGGCATCATCTTAGCTTTCAAACCATCAAGTTCGAGGATGGAAAACTGCCCGTAAGGGCTGTGAAATTCATTACGAAGCAGCTTCTAGGCCTCGATTTCCTCCACAGAGAATGTATTGTCATTCATACTGGTAAAGCACCATCGACACTGCTATCTCCACTATACTATGTTATTATTCTAACTCTCATCTTCCTAGATCTAAAACTAACAACATTCTTCTAGAGGTGTAAACTCCGGAATGTGCTGTTGAGCTGACTATAATACCAACATCTTGGAGAGAACGCCATCTCTCCGGCTTAATCCAGTTCCCTACTCCAAGGGCAGCTGAGGTGACTATAGCTGCGCCCTGGGACATTGGTGTCGATATCCGGGCTCAATTTATAGAAACAGGTTCGCACAAATTTCAATTTTGAAACCTGTTTATTGATATGCCTCTGTGAAGGACATTCTGGAAATCGATCCTGGAGCAAGGAAGTCGGCTGCTAAATTATTGCAGCATAAATGGTTCGAGTTATAGAATACCTGGCTATAATCATCATGCGATCAAAGCTATCGGGAGGAAGTCTTTATATAGCTGCACCCAGCACCATGGCCGGAAATGACTCCTCCCGTAATACCCCTATAGTCGTACCGGACTCATCCCATGTAGACCGATTGCCACTCTCGAAGGAGTTTATGTCGTTTAGGCGCAAACATTCAATCTGAAAGGAGTGTTAAGTCCAATTTACCCCACCGCGGAAACGGTCTTCAATAGTACAGCTTCGAGGGGGAGCTTATAGGGATCTTCACTCAAACCACTACGTCTGCAATAAGACATACGGTTTTAAGCTCCACCACTAAGAAGCGTGAAGAGGTTTTTAGGCCAACCAACTGGACATCTTCCCTAACTTTTGGACGTCAAGTCAAGACCCTGAATCATAGAACCGGAAGTTGAGCAGGCCCTAGCTATCTGTTGAGATCTGTTGATATGCTAGCGTACCTGGTCGTCAGATTGAGGAATGCACCAATAAGCTCAAGGGTATATTCTATAGCGGGGCTAAAAATGCTAGGCTTCATCAGATTTTGGAGCAACTGAAAACATGTTCAAAATGCGGCAAAAAAACTGAGGAATAAAGGATGCGGGAAGAGTGGGAGGGGATTAGCAGGTCCTAGTAGAAAGTATAATTAGCCATTTTTTAACTCTAAAGCGTCTTTAAAATAGTCCATTATGACACCAGCATCTGTTTTATAGTCCAGTAACTATACCATGTATACATGTTTACAAACCAATATGTAAATGATGTCATATATGGCCTGTCATTTCCTTAAGTCATATAAAGCAGTATGTATGGACCAGCCTTTCAATTGATCAATCAACCAAAGAAAATAACAAATACAGGACTCGTTCACGTATGCCCCAGAGAGTATCAGTATCTAAAGAGATACTAGCATCCGTAAAAATGCTAAGTACGCCTCTACATTGTGATATCTGTTTAGAATTATAATCTCGGGGACAGATGCATCGATTTATTTACCACTGCCGTTGTATAGAAGCTTGTTAGTGGTGTTAGCACCTGGGTTCAGGACAGGCCCAGAAGCCATCTTGATAAGCTCTGCACAAACGGCAGATGGAGCAATTCCCTTAGAGGCCATGAGTGTAGCACCAACACCACCAATATGGGGGGCGGCCATGGAGGTTCCGGACATGACTCCGGTTTGGTTATTAGGCGTGGCAGAGGTGATTCCTTGACCGGGTGCGTAAAGCTTCACTGGATAAGCTGTTAGCTCCAGAGGTGCAATTCAATGCTAGAGTCAGGCAGTCATGGGAAAACTTACCAACGGATCCATAGTTAGAGAACTTAGCCTTATCGTCCCTGATAGTGGTAGCAGCGGCACAGCAGACATTTTCCGCAGAAGCAGGGCTTTTGTTCGTTGCATCTTGCTATAATGGAGTGTCAGTATGGGGAAGAGTATATACCCGTACCTATTGTGGGTTGTGACTTACGTTGTCGTTACCAGCGGCGACAGAAACAAATATACCAGCCTTTGCAGCATTGGTAATAGCCTGGTTTGCAGCCACCACCTTTCCGCCGCTAATCGACAAATTCAAAACCGCTTTCCCGAGGATCTTTTTCTCGCGAGCGTCATTAACACACCACTCGAGGGCTTTCATAATGTTGCTCCATAACCCGGCACCGTAATCGTTAAGAGCCTTCACGGCAACAACATTAGCCTTCTTAGCAAGACCGTATTTGGTTCCTGCCGCGGTGGCAGCAGTGTGGGTTCCGTGGCCATGGCGGTCGTTGTCCTTGGTGCCATTGACAACATTGATACCCCAGACAGCACGCCCGCCAAAGTCAGGGTGGTGGATATCGATTCCGGTATCAACACCGTAGAATGTTATGCCGCTGCCAGCACTTTCATCGTAGACGTAATCACGAGTGCCGTTCATCCGGTGAGAGACCCTTCCAAGTCCCCAGGACGGGGCATCCTTTTGCGTGACGAATCCGCTGATGTAAACGTGACGGTCGTGCTCGACAAAGTCGACCTTCATGCCATTAAGATTGTTAACCAACACAGCTCTCATCCACTCCAAGTAGCGTTACATGTATCACTCACTTTGTCATTGTCAAGAATGCTGGCAAGGGTCTCACTGTCAAAGGATCCGCTGTACGCATGCCATCCGTTGATCTTGTAGGAATGTTTGAAACCACCCAGGTTTTCGGCGCCTCGTTTGGCAATACCCTCACGATGAAGGCCAGTAACCCAGGACACATGAGAATCCAACTCAGCGGATGAGACAGAATCTTTCATAACAACAAGGTAGGAATTTGGGATAATGTCCTTGCTCTTCGCAGAGCTCAGCAGCTCTGCAGCATCCACAGCTGACAAGGCAGCAACTGCCGTGAATATCACTTTAAAGAGACCCATAGTGTAAATGACGAAGGAAGTTCTGGTTGAAACAGAGATGCCTTGGATTGAGGCACTGTTAAATCATATATAGATCAGGATATCTGGGGAACCTCGGGAGAACCTTGGGGGTGTCTGGGGAGATCTACCATCGAAGATATCTTGTAATAATATGCGTGATTAGCCGTTAAGTAATGTATTTGATGGTCCATGAGACACATTGGATATAGATAATCTGCATCCTGGTAGCCATTCATGCAGCTGAATCTCAATGAGGTAGCTCGGCAACTCGTATCTCTCCCCATCATCGCTAGCCACGGCACTGGTTGTTACAGGGGCATGTAATGTAGATATAACTACACTATCTGCTAACCCAGTGTTCGATGTCTTCCCGAGACTAGCATTAGTATACCGAAGCAGGATGCTAGCCTAGCTATTTTGATGGAGGGAGTACTTTGGTAGGTATAGCGAGCACTACTCCATCGCGTTCCTATAATTCTGTACCTATTTCTATAGGTACTCCCTATTTAGTCAATCGTCTATGAATTGGAGGGTATCACTTTAGTTCTGTAACTTGCACTCCATCCTCTTCTCACGTATTCCAAGAGAGAAGCGGTCTTGGATGGGGGTATCTGTGACTTAGTTACTCTTTGTCACCAAAATCGTCTAATCTGAAATTAAGGCCAGTCGTTAGGCTAACTAATTTCCTGCGTCAAACTAAGCTTCTCCGCTACTGGCCGCCACTGTGGAGGGGAGTATGGATAACTATTCGTCAGGTACCTTCGGACGAACGGAGAGATACCGGTGAGTATATAAAATCGGTGCGTGAAGCCTCAGCTGTTCGTGATAAAACTGGACGACCTTCGAATGGTGGTTGCTGGGAATATCCTAGATGAATCCCAGCTGCGGAACATCCGGCACGGAAACACACCAGGAGGAAACACTGGGTGCCGAGAGATAAGACGACCCCCTCCTCATTGACAGATGCAAACCTGTCAACGGTAACCAGCACTGAAACGGTCACCGCAGATGCGAACGAGATACGATTTCTCATACAAGCTGAGGGAGTATGTCGTGCTTCTCGCATCCCTGCATCTGCTGCTCTCCAGATATTTACACCCAATAAGAAAAGTCCGCGACGGGATTAAAATAATAACACGTCTCACATATAACCAGGTAGACTCTCAGACCACCTTTTATGGACGTCATCTCTGAAAGAGAGTATGTTGATGCTTTTCAGGGGAAGCCAAGTACGGCATTCCTCTTCCCCTTCTTCCCGCATACCGGAGCATAAAGTGACCAAGGATGCCCGGTAGTTGGCGGGCCCCTGCACGGCCCGGCTCCCAGTGCCAAGACCTGCTCAATCGGAGTAATATTTATGCCGTACTCCGTGATTATATAATCAATCTAGAGCTGTCCGGTCTCGGAAACTTGGAAGGCCTCGGCTTTTTTTACCTCGGAAGACGGGAAGGGGCTTTTAGACAGTACCTAGGTTACATACATATATGATGATTGGAAGCAGAAGAGAAAGCCGACGAGGATGACAGAGAGAATAGGGATGGAGTTATGCTGCCCATTTGGAAATCTCATTTGGACCAGATTATAGTCAAGATGCTAAAATAATTGGAATAGATACTGTTGCTTCCCTTGTGTTTACAGTCACTATGTAGCGCTGAGTTATGGCCCCACCAGCATAACGAGATACTTCCAAGTTTGTGACGTTTGTCTGCCGCAGAAGCTGCCAGTTACGTAGTTGCTGAGATTCCAGACAGGTTATCGTATTATGGCCAAACTAGGAGCTACCGTTATGGTACCTTCGTAGCCGCGGAGTATATAAAGTTGGAGAACCCCTCTGCTCGTCTGAGTTCTCTTTCGTAACTAAATCCGGCCAGCTCATCAATCGCTAACACTCTACTCCAAGATCCGAGAATATTCTAATAAACATCCATACTTATAAAACCGGCTTTTTCTCTCCGATTCACAATGGATACCTTCAACTGGTCTTACCACTCCATTGCCGGCGCTTATGTGCTGGGCCTGGCACCACACTTCGTCTTCTTCCTTAAGACCCTGAAAACTGGCAAATACTCCAACCTGACGTACGTTACCTGCCTAGTTTATCGATCTGTCATCAGCTGCAAGCGGCAGACTAACAAATCTCTTAAACCATACATAGACCGAGAAACACCCTCGACTCGCTTCGTGGCGTTATCCCCGCCGAACAATGGAACAGACTCTTCAAGCTCAGAAGCATTCATATCAATGCCATGGAGAGCATCCCGATCTTTGCCGCTGCCATCGTGAGTTTACATCCAACCTTTCTACACAACATTATGTGGTATTCCTTTCGTCTCTAATTCGGTTAAATGTAGCTTGCGGGTAACATTGCCAAGCTCCCGGTCAGCGAGCTCAATTACCTTGCAGCTGAATACCTCGGATGCCGTGTAGCCTTCGCGGCTCTGTACTTGGGCGCCGGGTCAGAGCTCACCAGCTACGCAAGAACTGGGGTCTGGTTCTACAGCCTTGGGCGCCTTCTATTCACCCTGATTAAATCTGGAAATGCCGTTTCTGGTCTCCTCTAAACAGTGTTACTCCTGGATCCCACCTCAGGATGTGATTGATGGTTTCGGCCGCACTCGACGCTTGGTGCTAGAGCCGGGATCCATTTCCCTGTTCCCAAGCTCCTCTTGACTTTTCAGGCTAAGAACACACTTTGGAGTGGGCTTATAATACCCCATATATAATGACAAAGTGTCCTGTTCTAGTTTGTCTTCATCAGTTGGAGATTGATTGCTAAAAAAAGGGCTTAGGGAATCGTATAACGGCAATGTCAAATTCCCAACCCTAAAACGCCTATGTATTAATTCTCTCTAGCTAGCTATGCAAAATACCTATTACTATTATATCTTTGTGAAAGACAAACAATACAACAGCTGAAAAACAACAAGAAAAAGGAAAACTGGAAATAGGAAATATGGTGGCCATCAACTTCTTGCTCACTCGCTCCTTCGTTTTAATAAATGACTTATACCTATAATGGATAGATGATTTCTCGTCCACATAGGTATATCGCGCAGCACACAGTTTCAAAATGAGGTTTGGCGGTAGATGGTTTGGCATGTCTAGCTTTCAATGTCCTTGGGAGCGCTGGCTCTGGTTTGGCGCCAGAGGCACGCACTGCATATAGCAGAGAAGGCAAACAAAATGCTAAGCTCCTTGTTAGATAACTGGCTCATTGACCCTTGGACAATATAACAAGCACTTACCAAAGAGCAATGCTCAGGCCCCAGATCGACTTCATTTCGTAACAGGTGAGCTTCGATGCTCCAATCCAATGGGTGTAACTGATCTTCCCGCCATCCTTGGCGAGGCTCTGGCCAAGGGCGTTGGCAAAATCATACACGGATGAATGACCGCCGGAGACTTGTCCGATCACATTGCAGTTCAGATACGATAGCGGTTTCCCAACAGTGACAGCGACGACCACGACGGCAATCAAATGGGCTCCATCCAAACCAAGGTTGATCAAGTATGGGAGAGCCCCGTCGAGGAAAAGGATGAAAGTGATGGCGCAGTACAAGACTGCAATGACAGTCTGGTGGTTCCAGTGTTAGACTTATGTGGTATATGTGCGTTTAGGCATTCAAACTTACCACACTCAGAGTGCCGATGAGAACATCTGGTGGAGTTGCATTGGCGTTGACCATCTGAGCGATGAAGTTGGCGGTCATTCCAATGATGGAAATAAGGCAGATGGCCTGGAGTATGCGGACGGCCTTAAAAGAGGTAGCGAGGGCGCCTTGTGGACCAGCCATAGTGACGATTGAAGTTGTGTTTGAGAGGAAAGAAAACAAATGAGATGATGTCAAGAAAGACGATACGTCTTGGGAATGAATGTAGTAGACAGGGAGTGAAATGAATTGCCTGGGTCGCTGGTATACGAATGCGAGGGAATATGCTGATAAATGGACAGAATAAGGGATATAGTTGTATATATATGATGAAATCGTTGAGATAAAGGAGACTGAAAGGGAAAACAAGTTAGAAATGCAATGATATAAGACAAGGGAAATAAAGGAAAAGGAAAAGGAAAAGGAAACAACACTCTATCAAAGAGTGACGATGGTAGTTGATTGTTGATTGCTGTAGAATAAGAGGAAAACAGGAATGAAAGAGGAGAATCACCGCCTTTATATCTCGATCTTCGGGAATGGTCTAGACACTGGTCTACATCACTACGCGCCTTCAAGATAGATCATTTTTGATGGTGAACGGCGAATTATCTTTGGATCGTCGGGTCGTTCCTATTCATAGAATTGTCTAGATCATACTCAAGATTCTGTTTAGGATACTGACTTCGCAAAGTCAGTAAATTATTAGAACTTGGACGTCTCAAGGGACACAAGGTTGGGTATTCTCTTCAGCAAGCGCTGGCCTTCCCAATGAAATCGCGAACAATCAGTTTCATAGAAGCTGACACGGCTCACCGAACCTAAAAGGCCGTGTTTGGGGCCCCAGAGCCCTGGGAAAGGCCCACCGACGAGCACCCGTAGGGTGGATGAGCTGCGTCGTCGCTGATGGGCTGGCTGGAGCTTGGAGCTCGAATCTTGGAGCTTTGGTAGCAAAGGAATCGCTGCTTTTGTTGCTAGCGCCACATGGCCCACCACGGCGCTTGCTCTTTCACTTGGCTGCTTGCTGGCCGCAACTCTCAGCCAAACGATCGAGAGGCCAGACTGAGTCTGAAGCAGAAGCGGGACCGATCTTCATCCCCGACTTGACTCAAGGTACTTCAAAGCTCGCATTGGATTCTATTTTGGTCGTCGATGTTTCGTCGTCAATCTCGAGACGTCCGTCTTTTCCCTCCTTCCAGCCGTTACTGGCCCTGCGTATCACGTGCCTCAGCCCTGCCTACAGCGGGCGCTTAGAGCAAGGCAGGTTTTCTGGTTGGTGACATTGCCATACAGAGCCCATTACGGAGTTTATGGGGCCTAAAACGGTTCAGCTTGCTCCGACAGCCATCATTTAGCATTTTTGGCTGGATTATGTTCAAGCCAACTCTGTTTACTCCGTATTGCCATTCTCGATCTTTAAGAGTATAGAGCTCAACGAGGGATAAGGCGCGAAGGAGCAAGTGATGATAAACGGGATCCTTGGACCTACTGAAAGAGTCAAGTCTCGGTCAATAATAATGCACAAATAACTAGGACAAACCCACATCAGATAACCAAACCGCAATTTAGCCTTGAGACACTTGGATCAAGCGCATTTTCCCTACGGCATAATTCGCCTCGGATGGTCAGGTTCGAAATCCATTAGCCGGTAGCCATATCCATTCTACTGACTGTGCTGATCACTTGCTCTGTTCTGGCCTGATGAGTGGTGGTTGTTTGTTGCGATTCAAACTCCACGTCATTTCACAACTAAAGAAAAAAAAATAAAAGTAAAATAAAATAAACCTAATAATAAGAGCACGTGATAATACAATCATGATTATATAAACAAAGTTTGCATTGAGCCGCATCCATCGTGCCTTGGGTCTTGGCATAAAAGCCATTAAAATTTAATCGAAACGTCAGATCGAGAGCTTTTTGGCGAAAGCAGGAACTACACGAATACTAAGATGGAACGGCTGTTCTAATCACAAGGCAGCTCAATTCTCTTGCGCTGGTGCTGGGAGGATTTTTGGGTCTGCGATGTCGTCCCGTCGGTGGATGAGGAGCTCTCTGGATATTCCAGGGAAGCTGGGTCGGCCGTTCGTCTGCTCACAATGCGCGACAGCTCTTGGACGCAACCCGAATCGGTCTGTTGATGTCTCTTCGCGTTACCCGTTCTCGTACCGTGACAATGGCAGCGTGCAATATGGCAGCGTCCCTAGACGGTCGTTTTCCACGACAGGAAATGTAAGTCAAGTAATTGATTGTCAGCAAGAGTAACATGGTCTAACTTGTTGGTGGATACTTATAGGCACGATCCTCTACCGAAAGTTCCCTTATGGATGATCGTATGAGAGAGCTCATTGAACAAGATATGAAGAGAACGGACGATATCAGAACTTATCTTCGAAAATGGATAGAAAAGCAGCCAAAAACTCTAGATCCCATCATGGAATTCAACGGAACCGCAATTGCCCCATCTACACAGAAAGTTGGTGGCATGTTTCTCGACAACTCTGTCCTTAGTGATAGTCTTCCCGAGCTTTTAGGAAGTTCAGATCTAGAGGGTGATCCATTACCGTTTCTGCGTCCTGGAGATTTAGTTCAACTACGACAGTGAGTACTAACGCTAACATAACACGGATATATGGGGCTGACAAGCATTTAACAGTCAAAATGGGACTTCTTCAGGCCAGCTAGCTGTGTATCTTCGTACGGTTAATGACCAGCAGCAGTTTTATACCACCAGGGGGAAATGGCGAATTGCTCGACCTTCAGAAGTGAACTACATTACAAAACATCGCTTTTCACCCGAACTACTCGAGCCAATATTTCCATACCTTCCAACAACGGTAATTGCGAAGGGAAATATGCCACAACTAGCCATGGAAGGCGGTGTTCCCCGTCATATTGGTGCTACTTTGCTCAACTCAATCCTTGAGTTTGAGGGCGCTGCTTCAAAGACGTTTGCAGAAAACGCCACTATATTGAATTCTGTGCATGACCGCCTTGCAAAAGATACAGAGCCAGTAACGCTGACTCTCGAGCAAATCGCCTCTCAGCTCCTAGGCCGAGATCCAAATACCCTTTCAAAAGCTGATAGGTACGCGATTCATCAAGCAATTGATCAAAACCCAGTCTCGATAATTGCGAATCAGAGTTTGTCTGTGGTTGAATCGTACACATTCCGTCCAAAGGCGCAGACAGAACTGATCAATCGTGTAATAAAGTGGATGCGAGAGTACCAGACCCTGAGGAGTAGTGGCATGGGAAAAAAAGAAAAGAGGTCCTCGAATCGCAATCCCATTGGCCAATTTGTCAAAACTGCTCGACAGTGGATTTATCGGAGCCGTGCGTCTCGAAAACCTACGCAGGCGTACAGCTTAAGTCCAAGAATCGACTCGGTTGACGACCTGGAACATCAGGCTGAGCAATTGAAAGAGGGCTCAAAACCTTCCACCCCATCATTTTCCGAAACAGACAGAGATATAATTGAATTTTTGAGGCTTTGGATCCTTCCGCCACTGTTTGTGCGTGATTCTTCTCTTCGAAGCACTGGGTCCTTTATACTTTTTCATATTGGATTATACGCCAACTTCAACCTTAACGAGGCTACTGGATATTTGGCCCTACAAGAACTCGGCATCCTAACTCCTTGGGAGAATATCCATGTCCTCAATGAGCAGGTCGCCCTTCCTGGCCATGGCCTATCGCCAGTATCCGACGCAATCGTTGAAGAATGTAATAGGTTTTGCGAAATGCCTAGCTGCATAGATACCCTGGTAGATTCCATGAAGGATTTCCGCAAAGACTGGGGAGAGACACCAGTGTTCTGTGTTGACAGTGCATCTGCTGCAGAAATTGATGACGGGTTCTCACTTGAGCGTATCCCAGACTCATCAGATAGATACTGGGTTCACATCCATGTTGCCAATCCGTCGGCGTTCATTCCTCATGACCATCTCCTTGCTAAAGGGGCATCCCATTTTAAACGCTCTTTTTACACCCCCGAGAGGGTGTATCCGATGTTCCCACCAAACCTTACCAGCGAAAAGTTTAGTCTTGGGCCTGGGAAACCAACCATCACGTTCAGTGCGGTTGTTAATATGGAAGGAGAAATCCTTGATACCAAAATTACCCACGGTTACATTAACAATGTTATATACATTACGCCAGACAGGCTACGAAAATTGTTTGGTATTGATATAAATGAGAACTCTTCAATGTCCCTGGAAGTTGGAGGTACTCCCAAGGGCCCAGAACGCCCTGAATTACAGGAGCATATATCTGAGGAACACAAAGCCATTCTTGAAACTATGGAGAGGTTACTCGCCGGACGTCGAGAAAAACGCATGAAGAAAGGCGCTATAGAGTTCTTTTCAAACTATCCCTCGTCACCACTTGTTTCCGGAGGTGAAGAAGGCGTACGTTCATACACAGGCGATATTTCGGGGCGTTATGATTATAATGATGATCCTACAATCGGAGTTAGCGGTCAATTTACACAATCAGATGGATCTTTGGAAGCCACCAAAACTGATTTTGTGGCACATGCTATGCTTCTGGGAGGAGAAATTGCTGCTCAGTGGTGCAAAGAGCGCAACATTCCAGTCATATTCTCGGCAGCTGCCTACAATCTGGATAAAGTCACCACGGAAGACCAGGGAGAATTTGTACCTGGTTCATCACCATATAGCCAACTCCCCCGAGCCTTTTCGTCTTCAAAGCCGACGCCTCATATCACGCTTGGCATGGATCAATATAGCAAATGCACGTCGCCCCTCAGGCGTTACTCCGACTTAATCGTCCACTGGCAAGTAGAAGCCGCTTTACGTCATGAGGCAAAGCAAAGTATGACGGATCAAAGTGAAAGATACCCCAATCAAGTAGACGAAGCTGTCCTTCCATTCTCTCGCGAAGACATCAAAGCAATCATAGTCCGCTCAAACTGGCAAAATAAAGCCGCCGACAGGGCACAGGTGCTATCACGGGAGTTTTGGGTTCTCCAGGCCTTATTCCGTGCACATTACTTTGGTGAAGCAAATCTCCCAGAAGGTTTCCAGTGTGTTATCGTCAGCCAGCTTCCTGCGAGTTCTAATTCCGCTTCTGAGCCAGACGAGACACGATATACAGCAAATCTGCTACCTTTCCGGGTTCGCTGTGTCGTGACTACTGACAAAAGCTGTCCTGAATTCCGGCCAGGTGACTTGGTGGAAGCGACTATTTCTAATGTCAACCTATACACTGTACTACTCGGTCTCCGAGCAGTACGTCTTGTCCACCGTCCCGAGAAATCACGAGCCACTGTGCCTCTTGGGTTTCTTCATTGACCTCTTGAATTATTAGACTCACTTTATTCTTGAAAGACGTCTTAGAGAGGTAAATGTATTTTTATCTTGTCGTTTTTTGGATTAGCGGCTGTACATTTGCAATGGAGTTACGATATCCCATCTCTGATCTCATGCCCCCTCTCAATGTTAATAATTCCGCTCCCATACATAGCTTTTGGTTTGCTTAGAATTTAGACATTCCCTTTCTATACAATGTTGATGAATATCGGTTGCAGCGTAGTTGAGTTTTCAATATAAGGTTCATTGACGATTAAAATATATCCATGGCCAAACGCCCATCATAGTTGCTTTAAAACCGTAAAAAGGATTCCGCACGCTTCACGTAAACTGATGGTAGCCTTCTAGGTTTAACTCCTTGCCGGTAGACAAGTGCTTCCTTCAGCCCATGCCAGTGTGTTCAACAAGCGAACGGACTTCAATGATGTGCTCCACCTCCGCATAAACCAAGAAAAGTCCCATCTATCGTACAAATATTGCGAGTGCAAAAGGCGGTCTCGGTTACCGTAGAGAAAGTCCTAAACGTCGATCATAGTTCAAAGGCTAGATGAAGAAGTAATGTTAGCTGAAACGTAGGCATAATAGGTAGTGGTAAGTGACATACGCAGGGAGTAGCCATTCGCCGAACGGACTCTGAAGGAAAGCAACTGCGGCCTGTGAGACATAATATCAGCCAAAGTGAACAGGTGTATAACCAATGCCAACCGAATTTTGCTAGCTCATCAACATCCAAAGGATGGTATAGGAGTTAAAACATACACCGAATATGAGAACGCTCCTCACTACGGTGGCATTCTCTGATGAAGTCAACTCAGAGTAAACCGTTGACACAATACCACGGGGCTCCCCGCGGGATGGGTGCGAAATGGCACGCTGCTTTGGGGCCATTTTCGAGAGGAATGAAGTTGCTTTGTCTTTGTGTTTTCCGTTTGGGGAGAAATTGATATGTTGTGATGATGGCGATGAATTTGGATATAGAAGTTGCAGTTGGTTGGTTATAAAAATTTCGGGGAAGAAAGGGTAAAAGTTGCGCGCTTGGCGTCTGCGCGTGAACGTAGAATGAACTGCATAGTTAACTGCGAAGCTTCTTTGAACTCAACTTCCGGCGTAAGCTTGGAAAGCCGTCTTCGGCAGATGGAAATACCTGCATCTTTGAGCTCTGGATGATCGAGATACACGTCTTATAATTAATGACCTCGACGTCTAGTAACGCCTGGCTATCTATTTGTTAAAAGATGTCGAGCATTGATGATATTTTCAAGGTAAATAATTACAGCTCCTTTTACCTACTAGGACGCAAGCTGACCAACTGATAGAAACCATCCCACCCCTCAAATATCAAACGAAAGCTCGAGCCGGCGCGAGATCCAAGTATGTTTAGGCACCTATATCGAATGCGCTTACCCAGGAATAAATACGCTCGATCACTAATCGATATAATTGTGCAGCTGAGATATACAAGGCCGCGAAACTCGACGCCAATGGAGACACTATAAGAGGCAAAGAACCAACAGTTGAGGATGCGGAAGACGATGATGTCGCCGGTCCTGAACTTCCGCCAGACTTTGAAGAGGATATCCCGGATGACGAGGAGGGTAGATTTTTTGGAGGTGGTGTAACGAAGGACACCACCAATGCCCTTGACTACATTGACAAACATGAGAATGAAGGAGCTGCGGTAATTGAGTATTTGAAATACTGTTTGTGACTCGCAACAGCTAACTCCAGATTTAGCCCCAGGTTATTGACTCTGCATGGTTACGGCGCACTGCCCTGAATTTCGAAAAAAAGATATCGAAGAATGCCGAACTCCGGGTCAAATTTGAAAATGATCCGCAAAAGTAGTCACTGATCGTCCACCTGTACTCTTATATGGATGAAACATCTAACGGATTGGCTAGGTTCATGGCTTCTGAGGCCGATTTGGATGTTGAAATCAAAACCCTTTCAATCTTATCTGAGCATCCAAAGCTGTATAACGAATTTGCTGAACTTGGTTGCGCTGGTTCACTGGTTTCCCTACTAACCCATGAGAATACGGATATTTCAATTGATGCGATAGAAATACTCGGTGAGCTCATTGACGAGGATGTGGAAGCCGAGGAAGATCAGTGGGATGCCATTGCAAACTCTATGGTAAGAGAGACTCCTTGTTCTAACGCCCCATCTTAATAACTAACTATTTCAAGCTGGATGCGGATATACTTGAACTTTTATCACAAAATCTTGCACGATTAAATGAAGAAAATGAGGTAGACAGGGCTGGTATATACCATATCCTAAGTATGCCGTTACATATCCCTGCAGATAACAACAACCTTTCTAACACAACTAGATATCCTGGAGAGTTTGTCCTCGAGAGCATCCATCGCAGATCGGATCGGACAGGAGTCAGGCATCATGCCTTGGCTGCACGAGCGCATATCAAGGAAAGAGAAAAGAGTATCCCAAAATAAACAGTATTCTGCTGAGATTCTTGCTATACTGTTACAATCTTCGTCAAAAAATCGACTACGATTCATCAGCCTAGAGGGAGTTGATACGTTGCTCCAGTTATTGAGCGTATATCGAAAGCTTGACCCCCAAAAAGATTCCGACGAAGAAGAGTATTTTGAGAATTTATTCGATTGTTTGACTTGTGTGGTAGATGAGGATGAAGGTAAAGACAAGTTTATTGAAGCGGAGGGGATTGAACTTGCACAAATTATGCTCCGCGAAGGCACACTAAGTAAGCCACGAGCTTTACGTGTTCTGAATCATGCCCTTGGTGGACGAGGAGGTTTACGGGCATGTGAAAAGTTTGTTGAAGCCGGGTTGCTCAGAACGGCATTTGGCATGTTTATGAAGAAGGTAACCTCCTTTCCGACACCTCCTAAAACTGCATAACTCTGACAACTGGTTGGTACTTAGCAAGATAAATCGCTTACGGAACATCTTCTGGGAATATTCTCATCATTGCTAAGGCTACTTCCTGGTGACACGTCTGGTAGAATTCGAACGTTAGCAAAGTTCGTGGAGAAAGACTATGAAAAGGTTACGAGATTAATCAAACTACGGCGAGAGTATAAGTCTAAACTCTCCGTTGTAGAACAAGATATCAACCAAGAAAAGAGCAGTCTCAGTCAAGATGACCTTGACGCTTTGGAGGGAGAATGGTTATCTCGCAGACTTGATGCCGGACTTTTCTCTCTACAGGTAAGATTTCCACTCATTTGACAGATCTCCATTTTCTTAAGCTTACTTCCGTCCTTTAGACCATAGATGTAATCCTTGCGTGGCTTGTCGCTGAGGATGACGGTGCAAAAGCCAAAATAAAGTCGTTGATGGCCGATCAAGACGAAGACCTAGGTGTCATCCGCGGTACGCTCCAAGGTTAGTAGGGATTAAATGATATCCATCTAATAGATAAAGCGGATAACTAATATTGAAAATAGAACAACTGAGCGGACTTGATGATTCTGAGACGGATTATCAGGACACTAGAGACATGCTAGACACGCTGATGAGCTTTTTATAATCATGCTCTCTGGTCTAGACTGGTGCTTTTTCAATGTAGGATAGGCAGCACAAGGTAGACTAATTTCACTGTACATATATTAGCTTCTAGCCCGGTTTGCATGGGATCCTCAAATATGATGGCTTCAGAAAGTAGGGACCTGTAGAAAAACGACTGAACCAAGAGTAATCCTACATCGGCAGTTAGTAGACTGCAGCTATACATTTGCCACTTAAGACACAGGGCAGGAGAAGGGTTATATATAAGGACAGGTTGGATAGACTAAACGTGACTACAGGTTTAGGTAAATGGAATAGCCGCCGGTTGAATCACGATCGGCGGTTGTCTGATTACATAATAAAAATCGAAATATTTCACGTGATACCACGTGATACAAGCGCGTTTTGGAAGGCTTGGCCAAAAACGGGAATTTCAGTGGCGGCTCAATGATTGCAGGAGAGAGCTCCTTCACCTGCGCAACCCTCGAAGCTGTCACTCATACAACACCATATTTCACCCGGCGCGGCAGTGAGTGACTGGATTTATGTTGATGAGGGCCGCTTTTACTTACTGTTGATATCTGGCTGCTCAGTTTAGATCCCTCTGGGGATCGGATTGCTGAACCTGTCGCGCGCACGGAATTTCTAATCGGCAACGCATCGCCATCATGGAGTATGCAGACGAATATGGGGACGATGTTTACTACGAGGCGGAGGAGGGAATTACATCTGAAGACTGCTGGACGGTAATCTCGGCTTTTTTTGAGTCCAAGGGTTTGGTCTCTCAACAGCTAGATTCGTTCGATGAGTTTATTTCGACTACTATGCAGGAGCTGGTGGAAGAGCAGGGCCAAGTTACACTCGATCAAACAGTACCTCCCAGCGACGATGAGCCCGACCCCGTTGTTTTACGCCGTTATGAGCTTAAATTTGGTACCGTTATGTTGGCTCGACCTTCTATGACAGAAGGAGATGGCGCGACCAGTATCATGTTGCCGCAGGAAGCCCGTCTACGAAATCTCACTTATGCCAGCCCTCTCTATCTTGGTATCTCGAAGAAGATTATGGAAGGCCGAGAACGTCTACTATCGGAACGAGACGAAGAAGAAGAAGAAATTGAAGAAAAAGGAGATGAGGAGAGACGGAACCGTGGAACGTATTTACACTGGGAACGCAAGCCAACCATGGAGGACGAAGCGGAAGAGGAAAACATTTTCATTGGAAAGATGCCCATCATGCTCAAATCGAAATACTGCATTCTCAAAGACCTTGGTGAGCAAGCGCTCTACAACTGGAATGAGTGCCCGTATGATTCGGGCGGTTACTTCGTCATCAACGGAAGTGAGAAAGTTTTGATTGCGCAAGAACGCAGTGCTGGAAACATTGTACAAGTCTTCAAGAAAGCTCCTCCAAGCCCAACTCCCTACGTCGCCGAAATCCGAAGTGCGGTTGAAAAGGGTTCCAGAATCCTCTCTCAGCTCTCCATCAAGCTTTTCTCCAAAGGAGACAGTGCCAAGGGTGGATTTGGTCCAACAATTAGATCGACACTTCCTTATATCAAGACCGATATCCCGATAGTTGTCGTATTCCGCGCGCTTGGTGTGGTATCTGACGAGGATATCTTGAACCATATTTGCTACGATCGAAATGACACACCCATGTTGGAAATGCTCAAGCCCTGTATTGAAGAAGGTTTCGTTATTCAGGACCGTGAAGTTGCCCTCGACTTCATAAGTAAGAGAGGATCCTCACCAATGAGCATGAACCAAGAGAAGCGAGTACGATATGCCAGAGACATCATTCAAAAAGAATTCCTACCTCATATCTCGCAGAGCGAAGGTAGCGAAACTCGAAAAGCCTTCTTTTTAGGCTACATGGTCCACCGCCTACTTCAATGTGCTCTCGGACGCCGGGATGTAGATGATCGAGATCATTTTGGAAAGAAACGACTTGATTTGGCTGGACCTTTGCTAGCGAACCTGTTCAGAGTTCTATTTATGAGACTCACCAAGGACCTTTACAAATACGTCCAGAGGTGTGTTGAAACTGGTAGACAACTTTACCTGAACATTGGTGTCAAGGCTAGCACCCTTACAGGCGGTCTTAAATATGCGCTTGCGACAGGAAACTGGGGTGAGCAGAAGAAGGCTGCTAGCTCAAAGGCTGGTGTCTCACAGGTTCTTAACCGCTACACCTACGCCTCTACACTTTCCCATCTTCGACGAACAAACACTCCTATTGGCAGAGACGGTAAAATTGCCAAACCTCGCCAGCTTCATAATACCCACTGGGGTCTTGTTTGCCCTGCTGAAACACCTGAAGGACAGGCTTGTGGTCTGGTCAAGAATTTAGCTCTCATGTGTTGCATTACTGTCGGTACCCCAAGCGAGCCTATTATCGACTTCATGATTCAGCGAAACATGGAAGTCCTAGAAGAATTCGAACCCCAAGTCTCGCCTAATTCTACAAAGGTATTTGTGAACGGTGTGTGGGTGGGTGTACACAGAGACCCGGCACATCTTGTGGGAACAGTCCAGTCACTCAGACGGCGAAACATGATTTCCCATGAGGTCAGTTTGGTTTGGGATATTCGAGATCGCGAGTTCAAAATATTCACCGATGCCGGGCGTGTATGCCGACCTCTCTTTGTAGTTGACAACGATCCAAAGAGCGAGAACAGCGGGTCTCTTGTTCTTGTAAAAGAACATATCCATAAACTTGAAGCAGACAAAGAACTTCCGCCAGATCTTGACCCAGAAGAGCGAAGAGAGAGACATTTTGGCTGGGATGGCCTAGTCAAATCTGGAGTCATTGAATATGTCGATGCGGAAGAAGAGGAGACAATCATGATTGTCATGACGCCTGAGGACTTAGAAGCATCGAAGCAATACCAAGCCGGCTATGGCATGCCTGAGGAGGATACGACTGACCGTAACCGGCGTGTGAAGTCGAATCTCAGCCAAAAGGCTCACACTTGGACTCATTGTGAGATTCACCCGAGTATGATATTAGGCATTTGTGCCAGTATCATTCCTTTCCCCGACCATAACCAATCTCCACGTAATACATACCAATCTGCTATGGGTAAACAAGCCATGGGTGTTTTCCTCACGAACTTCGAGCAGCGTATGGAGACAATGGCGAACATTCTCTATTATCCACAGAAACCTCTTGCAACGACTCGATCCATGGAGTTCCTCAAGTTCCGTGAACTTCCTGCAGGGCAGAACGCTATTGTGGCTATAGCATGTTACTCCGGCTATAACCAAGAAGATTCTGTCATCATGAACCAAAGCAGTATCGATCGAGGATTATTCCGAAGCTTGTTCTACCGAACATACACTGATTCTGAGAAGATGATCGGGTTGACAGTCGTTGAGCGATTTGAGAAACCAATGAGATCTGATACTCTCAGGATGAAACATGGAACGTACGACAAAGTGGACGACGATGGCATTGTGTCTCCCGGAGTTCGTGTGTCCGGTGAAGATATCATAATTGGGAAGACCTCACCTTTAGCACCCGAGGCTGAAGAACTTGGTCAGCGAACGAAACAACATACAAAATTGGATGTATCAACTCCTCTTAGAAGCACGGAGAGCGGTATCGTCGATCAGGTACTTGTGTCCACAAGTAACGATGACTTGAAATTTGTGAAGGTGCGGATGCGGACCACAAAGATACCCCAGATTGGTGACAAGTTTGCTTCTCGACACGGTCAAAAAGGTACCATTGGTATCACATACCGGCACGAGGATATGCCATTCACTAGAGAAGGCGTCACCCCTGATTTGATTATCAACCCCCACGCCATTCCATCTCGTATGACAATCGCCCATTTGATCGAGTGTCAGCTGAGTAAGGTTTCGTCTCTGCGTGGATATGAAGGTGATGCTACTCCTTTTACCGACGTTACTGTTGACTCAGTATCCAGTTTGCTTCGTGAACATGGATATCAATCACGTGGATTTGAGGTTATGTACAACGGGCACACAGGAAGAAAGCTGGTTGCTCAAGTATTTTTGGGTCCTACATACTATCAGCGTTTGCGACACATGGTGGATGACAAGATTCACGCCCGTGCCCGTGGCCCAACACAGATTTTAACTCGACAGCCTGTGGAAGGTCGTGCTAGAGATGGTGGCTTGCGATTCGGAGAGATGGAACGTGATTGTATGATTGCACATGGAGCCAGTTCGTTTTTGAAGGAGAGATTATTTGATGTATCTGACCCATTCCGGGTACACATCTGTGATATTTGCGGATTGATGACACCTATTGCGTGAGTTTCCCTAATCCTTTACGCCGTACAATCAGCAACAATAAAGGCTACAAGAACTGGCTAACATGAGTTAAACACACAGCAAGGTTAAGAAGGGCGACTTTGAGTGCCGAGCTTGCAGAAACAAGAACAAGATTTCACAGGTGCATATACCATATGCCGCCAAGCTCTTATTCCAGGAATTAGCGTCCATGAATATTGCGGCGCGTATGTACACCAAACGATCCGGTGTGTCGATTCGATAAGACAACATTTTACTTTTCAGAAAAAGCCACTTCTCTCCTCGTCGTGTTCTCTCGACGATTATCGGTACTTCCTCCTCACCGTGGTACTGCGGGCATCCGGGCCTCGCTTTCCTCGCCGACATGACCCTTCACTTCTCTTCTTTGTCTTACACAAACCGACTTTCCCCCCTTTTTGTTCTTCCATTTCCTAGGCATGTGCCTGCTCAACCACTTCAATAATATCTTTCTCATGGCATGGCCCTGCGAATTTCCATTAATCTGTCTTGCAATCAATAGTTCTACTGCTTGGATGGAAAGAGATAGGCGCAAGTTCTTGAAAAATACAAACCAGGCATCGTTTTTGTTACTAGTTATT